AGGAGGAGGAGGAGGAGGAGGAGGAGGAGGAGTGACGCGGGGCTATGCGTATTTCAAAACGAGGACCAACACCACAGGATAGCTGGGGCAAACAAAACATATTGACGCTTCGTGTATCCCCACCAGTGTGCCTCGAGCGGGCCTTGCCTCACGGCACAACCTTAATTTTCCAGCATTTTGCTGGGCTGCAAGTGCCTGAGCTTCCCTGGACGCCCTCAGCTTGCCATCCCCCCGCGCAGCCTGCCGCTGCTTGGTGAGTGGGCCGGCCGGCCTGCGGCGCGTTTAGTAGCTAATTAGGCCGCTTCCGTGCCCCAGAGAGCTTCTGACTCCGCTTGCGCCTTCGCTGGTGGACGTGACCGGAACAAATGTATCCCCACCAGTCGACGCTTGCATCCCCTTTTCGCTCTGTGGCACGACCCCGTGGTGTGCGCTCCTGTTGCGCCGCCCACGTCGTCGGCGTTAGCGGGGAGTCATGGGGCTCTTGTTGGCCACGGCTCAGTTGCGTATGGGGTCGCTTTTCATCATCGTCCGCCTGGTCCCTCTTCGTCCCAGTCGCCATTTGTGGCCGGACGATTGCTGACTGCACCCCCCTTCAACGGGGCTTTGGTGTGCGACCTCGGTGGCGCCACCACCCGCACCTGCTGGGCCATGGCGGGCATCTTGGGCTGTCCATACTCCGATTTACCGTCACCCTGGTCACATCGTGGTGCTACTGCGCGCCATGTTGACTGCGCCCCTGCTTCGGTTGGCCAACGCACGCGCACTCAATTATTCCACTCGGTGGTTCAGGCCTCCAGGTTCAATCCAACCTGGCAGCCTCTCCGTTTGCTGCGGTTGTCCACGCCTTTGCAGTTCAGTTCACTCCCGGCAGTTTGCAGCCCCTGGCAGTCAGCCCCTGGCAGTCAGCAGCGCGTCTGCACCTCGATGCACGTTTGCAGCCACTGGCAGTTTGCAGCCCTGCCCCCTCCCCCATCGCTCGCCTGCGGCTGGTAACAAAACAAAGTATCCCCACCAGTCTGCCTAGTCGCCGCCTGGCTAGTGTTTGGACGGCTTTCGACCTGCTTCGCGAGCCCGCAGACCAAAAAGTATCCCCACCAGTAGTGTTCGTTCGGACGGCTTCCGACCCGCTTCGCGAGCCTTTTGACCAAAAAGTATCCCCACCAGCCCATCCAGAAACGCTCAGCAAGGGAGTCGGTGAATCTGGGGCGGCAGGACGCATGCAGTTGCGCAGCCGTCTTGGGGAGAACAAGGATCACAAAGAGCTTCCCGCATTGAAGTTTAAGATGGAAATCGATGCAAGCTACGGTAGTGCTTCGATGAGGGGTGAAGGGGTGTTTCGATGATTCGTAATGGCTGTTGCACTGATTTGTATCTGAAGCTCGCGTGCGTTTCCGAAACTTGGAGCCATCTTGGGGTTTTCTTGGGGTTCTCTTGGGGCCCTCTCGGGGCCTTCATGAAGCTCTTTCTTGTGGCACTTCTGAGGTCCTCCTAGGGCCTTCTTGGAGCCCTCTTGGGGCTCTTTTGGGGCGTCTTGGGGCCCTCTTGGGCTCATTTGGGGGGTTTGGGTGCCTTCTTGGGGCTCTTCTGGGATGCCTGAGGGGCCTCTTGGGGCCGTCTTGGACCTTTTCGCTTTTAAGAAATGAGGGGGGTCCAATTCCCATCGCCCCCTCGGAGGCTCAACAATGCCGTCTTGTGGCCATTTTGGGCCACTCTTGGAGCGCTTTTGGGGCCGTCTTGGGGCTCTCTTAGGCCCCTCTTGGGGCTATCTTGGGCCGTCTGGGGGCCATCTTGAGGCCTCAAAAGCCCATCGGAGGCGAAACAGCGAGATGGCAAAAAACACTGATTTGCCTTAAGTGTTTGAAGGATGTTGGCCTCTTGGGGGGATCCTCGGAGGCCTCGGACAGCACTTGAAACCATCTTGGGGCCGTCTTGAGGCCTCTTGGACGTGTGTCGGAGGCTATCTTGGCCCAGCTACCGCTATCTTGGGCCATCTTGGAGGCCATCTTGCGCTCTCTGAGGCTCTCTTGGAACCATCTTGGGCCATCTTGGACGCTGCTATGGGTCGGGCCCCCCCCGTCCAAACGCATGGGTGGGGGGGAGGTAAACCTCCCGAGCAGGAAAGGGCAGGAGGTTGGAAAAGGAAACGCTCTAGACCACCTGAGCCCAGAGGGCTGGTGGGATACCCGCGAGCGTCGGCGGCAGACGGTGGGCGATCACGGCATCTGCCGACGTGGTTTTGCCCCATCTGCGGCCCCGGAGGTCCCGATCGCATCGATGCGGTCGGGACCTCCGGGACCTTCGGGTTGATGACCGCATCGATGCGGTCGGGACCGCATCGATGCGGTCATCAACTCGAAGACTGCTCCCCTGGATCCAGGGGGGCATCTTTCGGGTTGACCCAAAAGTGGGTGGTGCAATAAACCTGTGGGGCGTGCAATACATGTGGGGCGTGCAATACATTTCGGGGCGCAGATGTATTGCTGGGTCTGCAATACAATGCAATCAAATTCTCCGGCGCATTACATTTGCAATACACTTGCCCCAAATCTATTGCACCACCCCCTCTCAGCTGGACCCCTTTTGGGTCACCCCCTCGAGTTATGAACAAAACCATGGCGGGGAGTTTTTCGCTAGGTTCGGCCTCTGGGGGCCCTCACCGGCCCCCGGGGGCCGTCACTAACCGGGGCCGTCACTAACCGACTCGGGACGAAAAACCGATCCCGGGGAATGGGTCCTGACCGTTGGGGGTCGATGCCATGAAAAAGTCATGACTTCGGGGGTTTGGGTTTGCTGGTCCCAGTGCCCCATGACGGGCCCCAGAAGCCGAAGCCGAAGGAAAATGCCGGGGCTGAACAAACAAAAAATCACGTCGCCGGAGATTTGCGGACGGCCGCAGCGGCCGCAGCGACGGCGGCGGCGGCAGGTAGTGACGGCTGCGGCGCGGCGCGAGGAAGACCCGGAGTCTGCGGCGGCTGAGGCTGCGCTGGCGCTGGTGGCGGACGCGGTGCCCATGCTGCGCTACCTCGTGCTGTGCGAGGGGCCGTGGCGGGGGGGCTCTCCCACGGAGCTCAGGAGCAACAGTATGGGGGGAACATACAATCCTGAACACTTCGCGCATCCTCACTGGAGTCTCTTGGGCGCCTTGGGGGTCTGTTGGAGGCCTCGCCGCTTGGGAGCCGTTTGGCCGTCTTCAAAGCCGTCTGGGGCGTATTTGGTGCCTCTTGGGGGCCTCTTGGGGGCCCTTTAGGGGCCTCATTGCGGGGGAGGAGGAGGAGGAGGAGGAGAAGGAGCGTCTGGAGGAGGAGGAGGAGGAGGAGAAGCTTCTGGAGGAGGAGGAGTATCTGGAGGCAGAGGTATTGGTGGAGCATCTGGAGGTTGTGGTGGAGAAGGAGTGCATCAAGCTTTTTGCCCTTCCCCTCCCTTCCCCACGACATCCTCCTGACCCTCCTGCTTTTCCTCCCCCCCTCCTCCTCCTCATTCTCCTCCTTCTGCTTTCCTTGTTCTCCTCGACGACGACGGCGACATGCGACGGCGACGGTCGTCTTGGGAAGCTCCAGATGTCAATGGAGGCCTCTGTACATTCCCGCGGGCCTCTGGGGGCCCCACCCTCGAGCCTGCAGCGCCGATCGATCGAGGACGACGTTGCCGACGACGACGACGACGACCCCGACGACGACGGCGACGCTGACAAGAAGGCCAAAAGAGCACCGACACTCACCACCCACCAAACCACCCCAACCCAACCCGAAGGCCCAAATTTATCCTCGATTTCCAGTGGGGGGGGTCGGGGAACATTGAAAAAACACATGGAACTCGTACCCCCCCAACCCGAAATTCGGGTCAAATTCGGGTCTTCGGGTTGGGTTGGGGTGGTCTGGTAGGTAGTCAGACACCGCTACTCCCCGGACCTCCCCTGGGGTGCGTTCTGACCAGAGTTCCGAGGACAATCCACCTGTCGCGGCGAGGGCCCTGCAGGACGAGCAGCAGTATCGGTATATGTTCCCCTTCTGACTGATTGTGACGACGACGGCGGCGGCTTCGACGAAAGGTTAAGTCGTGTCCCCTCTACAGGAGGAATGTTCCAAAATAGTGTATTGTTTGACCATTTTGGTGTGTAATTTTCCAAGTTTTGAGGACGGGCCCGACTTAAGCGAAAGGTGTCGGCGGCGGCGGCGGTGGCGTCGAGGGGAGAGCGGCCGGGGGGGGGAGGTGCGACGTGTGGCGCTGGCGCCTGGAGCGGTGGTCCAGGGGCGACCAGCTAGAGGCGCGGGCACTCACTCTTCGTCGACGTCGTCGACGTCGTTGTTCTCCTCCCCTGACATCCTCGCGTCGTGAAAAACGCACCGTGGGAGGTTTTCGGTTGTGTCCGGCTTCCCGGAGCCCTTGCAGTGTTCCAGGGCCGTCAAAAAACTAGTCAGGGCGAAAAGTTGGTCCCCTTGAGGGGGGAAGACCACTGGGGAGCCACGCTTGTGAAAAAACACGGCGTCGGATGTAGAGCTCCTCGATGTGTTGGGCATTGTCACGGCTGGTCGCGTCTCGAAGAATTGGCCGTGGTTGGATTGGGGAGGGATCCAGAGATCGATTTCGCGTGGATTTTGGCCGCCGTCGTTTTTTTGTTCGTCGTCCTCCTCATCCGCCTCCTCCTCCTCCTCCTCCTCCTCCTCCTCCTCCTCCTCCTCCTCCTCTTCCTCATCCTCCTCCACTTCCTCCTCCCCCCACCTTCTCGCCATCCTTTCAGTTTTTCCTTCCTGCTCCTCGCCGTCCTTTTCCTTCTCCTCTTCCACTCCTCTTCCTGCATCCTCCATCAGCCTTCTCTTCTCTGGCCTTCCTCCTCCCCAAGGCATTGGGGAAGAGGGGCTGGGAGGAGGTGGGGTGAAGATGAAGGGAAGGGGGGAGGAGAGGAGGAGAGGCAAAGGAGGAGGAGGAGGAGGAAGAGGAGGAGAAGAAAGTGAGGGGCAAGATGGAATAGAAAGAGGAAGAGGAGGAGGAGGAGGAGTAAGATGAGGAGGATGCGGAAGAGGAGGAGGAGGAGGAGAAGGAGGAGGGGAGGAGGAACGGTGAAGAGAGGAAGATGAGAGGAGGAGGCGGGAGGAAGCGGCAGAGGAGGAGGAGGAGAAGAAGAAGGAGGAGAAGGAGGAGGAGGAGGCACGGGAGGTGAAAGCGGATCCCCAGCAAGAGGTGGAGAAGGAGGAGGGAGTTGGGGGAGAAACGCGCATCATTACGAGAAGGATCCGGATGTGGGAACAGAGATGAGAAGGAGGAGGTGGAGTGCGAGGAATAATGGAGGAGAACGAAAAATGTGAGGCAGAGACGGAAGGGAGAAATGATCAGCAGGAGGAGAAGGTGGCGTCTGGTTGTTCAGGCGAGATGGGCCAGAGCAAACATCCCAAAACCTCGATCCTCCGCGCGGCGTCGTCGACGACACTCTCTGAACCCCCCTCCTCAGAGTCGTCCCGAGGAGCGCGCCTAACTAGGACTCCAGGGCGGACAAGGGGGACCAGTACCCTGTGGAGGCCAAGGGGACACCAGAAAAACACCTCAAAAGACCCGACCCTAGATACGAAGTCCACGACAACGACGACGACGACGACGACAAGGACAAGGACGTGCGACGACGGCGACGGCGACGGCGACGCCGACGACGGCGGCTACGGCGACTACGGCGACGGTGGCGGCGGTAGCAGCGGCGGCGGCGGCGGAACGGCTACGACGACGACGACGCGACGACGACGACGACGACGACGAACGACGGCGGCGGCGGCGGCGGCGGCGACGGCCACGGCGACGGCGGCTACAGCGACTACGGCGACGAAAACGACGACGACGACGACGACGCGACGACGACGACGACGACGACGACGACGCCGACGACGACGACGACGACGACGACGACGACGACGACGACGACGACGACGACGACGGCGGCGTCGACAGCGGCGGCGGCAGCGGCAGCGGCAGCGGCAGCGGCGGCGGCGGCGCGACGGCGGCAACGGCGACGGCATTGACGTCGACGACGACGACGACGACGACGACGACGACGATGACGACCTCGGACGACGACGATGGCGACGGCGACGACGACGACGACGGCGGCTACAGCGACTACGGCGACGACGATTACGTCGACGGCGGCAGCGGCAGCGACAGCGGCAGCGGCAGCGGCGGCGGCGGCGAGACGGGGGCGGCGGCTGCGACGGCGACGGCGACGGTGACCCCAGCGTCGACGACGACGACGACGACGACGACGACGACGACCTCGGACGACGGCGACGACGACGGCGACGACGACGACTTCGGACGACGACGACGACGACGACGACGACGACGACGACGACGACGACGACGACGACGACGACGGCGATGGCGACGACGGCGACAGCGGCTACAGCAACTACGGCGACGACGACTACGTCAACGGCAGCGGCGGCACCGGCGGCTGCGGCGCGACGTCGACAGCGACGGTGACGGCGACGACGATGGCGACGGCGACGGCGACGGCGACGGCGACGTCGTCGTCGTCGTCGACGACCTCGGACGACGACGACGACGACGACGACCTCGAGCGACGACGATGGCGACGGCAACGACGACGACGACGGCGGATACAGCGACTACGGCGACGATGACTACGTCGACGGCGGCAGTGGCAGCGGCAGCTGCAGCGGCAGCGGCGGCGGCGGCCCGACGGCGGCGGCGGCGGCCGCGACGAAGACGTCGACGACGACGACGACGACGACGACGACGACGACGACGACGACGACGGTGGCGGCGGCGGCGGCGTTGCCTACGGCCACGGCGACCTCTGCGACGGCGACGACGACGACGACGACCTCGGACGACGGCAACGACGACGACGACGACGACGACGACGACGACGACGACGACGACGACCGACGACGACGACGACGACGACGACGACGACGACGACGACGACGACGACGACGACGACGACGACGACGACGACGACGACGACGACGACGACGACGACGACGACGACGACGACGACGACGACGACGACGACGACGACGGCGACGGCGACGACGACGACGACGACGACTGCGACGGCGGCTACAGCGACTACGCCGACGACGACGACGTCAATGGCGGCGGCGGCGGCAGCGGCGGCGGCGGCGGCGCTACGGCGACGGCGACGGCGACCCCGCGCCGCCTCCCCCGCGCCGCCTCGGCTTAAGTAGGCGCCCGCCGAGCTCCGCGGGGGCTCCGTGAGCAGCCGCGCCCCGGTCGTCGAGGAGCTGCCGCCGCAGGGCGCCGCCGCGTCGGCGGTGGCGCAGCGGCCGCCTCCTCCTCCTCCTCCTCCTCCTCCTCATCCTCCCCCTCCTCCTCCTCCTCCTCCTCCTCCTCCTCCTCCTCCTCCTCCTCCTCCCTCTCCTCCGCCCCTCCCTCCCCCTCCTCCTCCTCCTCCCCCTCCTCCGCCTCCCGGCGGCCCTCGGCGGCCATCGGTTGCCTTGGGCGGCCGTCGGCGGCCTTCCCAAATGAGGCGTTCCAACAACAACAAAAAATGGCCTTTGCCCTCGAGGGCCGAAGGAGTTGGCATCTCTGCCGCGGCGGAACGCGGAAGGGCGGCGGAAGGTCGGCGGAAGTAAGACGAGGCCGTCTCCGCCGGCGGAAGCGCTCGGAAATCGGCGCAAGGCCGACGGAAGGCGGCGGAAGCAAAAGATGCGCCCCCAAGAGATGAGAACGTTTTTGGGTTCAGGGTTCCCGAAGTCGCCCCAATCTCTCTTCCTAGTCTGTGGAAGTTCTCGTCGGTTTTTCTCGAGGTTCTTTCGCCTCGGGTGCTCTCCAGCAGCTGCGCCTCCCCGCGAGCGCTCCGGGGCTGCCGGGATCGTCCCGAGCGGCGGCCCGAGGGCCTCATGGCCTAAATAACACATGATGATGTTCTCCATGCAGGCGTTTTCCTGTGATTTCGGCCTCGTGGGCTCCCGTGTTGGGCCCCGGGGCCATCATAATTCTAGACGCCTCGCGTGGCCCCACCAGCCCATCCAGAAACGATGCCCAGACGAGTTGCCCTGATCAGGGATGTGGAGGAGAATGCAGTAAACAAAGGGCTGGGTAAGACGTCGTACCCCCAAAGGGGAAGGATGCAGGAGGAATCGGAGGAAGAGCAGGAGGATCAGGAGGAGGAGGAGGAGGAGGAGGAGGAGGAGGTGCGAGGAGAGGGGGAGGGGGAGGATTGAGGAATGATGAGGAACAGGAGAAGGAGCAAGCGGATGAGGCAGAGGAGAATGAGGAGGAGGAGGAGGAGGAGGAGGAGAAGGATAATGACCAGCGTGAACTTGAGACACATTAGCGATGTTACGATAAGCCCTCCCTCAAAGTTCCTTCTTCATAGAGCCCTACAAGAGTGTATTTCCATTACGGGAAATTCCCCACCGAAAACCAAACGTCTGAAATCTCCAACCGCACCTAACATAATTCCTGGGGCTTCAGCTTCGCGAGTCAACGTGAATGCTACGTCCTGACAATCCTAACCATCGCCAGAACGTCAATCCTGGGACTGTAACTCCGCGAATCAACATGACGGCTGCCCTTCATACGTGAAGTTGCTACACACGCGACACGAAGGCGAGAGGCACATTTTGAAAACGGCCCGCCCTCCATCCGTGAAACTGTTGCAAAGCTTCAAAACGAAAGTACGCGGCGCTACGGCAAGAGCCACGTTATAACGAAGGCCCGCCTCCATCTGGGAAGCCTCTCTGCCAGTTTTCAAAAGATTGCGCGCGGCGCTAAGGTGAGAGAGCCACATTTCGCAACATGTCCGCCATCCATCCGTCAAACTGTTCCAAATGTCAAGCTTCAGGAGGGAAAGAAACACACAGACACAATGAATCGTCCACTCCCCAGAAAATATAGGAAAACATGGGAAGTGGGGGGAAGACAAAAACACAGAAAATATAAGAAAACATGGGGAATCTTTTTATTTGTGTGTATCTATTTGTGTGTCCCAAGGCCCCTTCAGAGCGCCAGGACCAGAAATGGTGAGGTCGTCTCCGGCGAAACGCCCGGCTCGCCCTGCTGGCACGTCTGGGTGCGACAGGGAAGTTCTCTGTAAGAAAGCAAAGTCTTGGCATCGCTCGGACGCGTGCATTTTTTCTCGGCGAGAACCATCGAGGACCATCCTGGACCATCGAGCACACGAAAACACGCACGAAACCGAAAAATGCACGGGAAATGGACGTCCGAGCGACGGCAAGAAGTACGTGGGAGGAATAGGACGGGGCGCACAGCCCGCGCCGCGCTCATTTGTCCAGAGTGTGGAGCTCCCGGTCGGGCGCGGCGCGCATTTGTCTCTTGCTTTTTCGCCGACGCGCGAGCGGGCGAGAATGTCGCTTTCGCCCGAAAGCGGCGTTCCCGCGTCGGCGCGGCGGATGTCTGCCGCTCGCCAATTCGGGGGGGGGGCCGCGCGAGTGGGCGACTTGTCGCCATCGCCCAAGTTCCGTGCGCAGTTGGCTCGGAAGTGGCGTTCCAGCGCGGGCGCGGCGTACGGTGCGTTCGCCGAAGCGCACGAAAGCGACAGCGGCAGCGGGACCACGCGAGAGCGGGCGAAGTACCGGCTTATCCCAAACGCCGCGCAGTTTGTGAGCGAACGTGGCAAAGCTGTGCCAGCGCGGCGCAAGCTTCGTCGCCGCGCCTATCGGACGTTTTGCTGCTCCCGCCCCACACGCGGACCGCGCAGATTTCTCTTCGCCGACTCGTTGGAAAGGAGGCTGCGAGCGAGCGCCTTCCGTTCGCGAGGTGGGGGCCCGCTCCAATCCCAAGATCAGCGCGCGCCCCAACGGATTCTTCTCTCGGCGGAGGGAGGGAGGGAGCAGGCGGGGCCCTCTGACTCGCTCGACGTGGCTAACTAACTTGCCGCCTCCTCCTCCTCCTTTTCCTCTTCCTCCTTTGTGCCGTTCTCCTCCTCCTCCTCCTCCATCCAGATCGAGCTCCGCACCCGTCCCACAGCGCCGTTCTGACACAGACCTTTCGAGGCGGGTCCGGGCGTGGCGGCGCGGGCCCCTTTGGAGGCCAACATAGAGAAATGGCAGCAGGCATGCGGAAGAAGAGGCCGCTCACCGCGGTCGCGGGGAGGTTCACGTATTTTCAGCCACGCGCAGAGGGGGGTGGGGGGAGGGGGAGGGCGTCTTAGAAGCACCCTCGCTTCTTAGAAGGCGCGGGCCTTCTCTATAGATGTAAGGCCAGCGCCTTCTAAGGAGCAGCCTCCTTCGTAGAAGCCTTCCCCCCTCCCCCTATCCCCTTGTGCGCGCCGCCAACATACGGAAGAAGAGGCCGTTTACCGCGGTCGCGGGGGGGTTCACGTCTTTGCTCCGACATCCCCGGCCAGGGCTGGCCCTAACCTCTGCTCTGCGGGACTTCGGCCGCGTGTTGTCTCTCGTCGTGGCAGGGAGGCACTAGAACACAGGTCGAGCAAGACGAGAAGCAAAACGACCACGAAACAAAGAAGCAGCGCCTGGGCCGCTGGTTCTTGAGCTCAAAAAACAGTTCTGCAATTCAACAAACTTGTTCCTGAACTCTGAAAGCAAGCTTCTGGACCCAAAAAAGTTTAGGTCATTATATATATATATATGTATATATGTATATATATTATAAAAAAAGCTTCTTGAATTCAGAGGCCCTCTCCCTGGCTGGCCTCCACAGCTGGCGGGCCTCGGCAGGCCCCCCTGGGGTAGCCGAGGGCAGCCCCGGCTGCCCCGGCCCTGGCGCGCGTGGCGCCCGAGGCCGCCTCGGGAGGCCCCGGCCTCCTGGGGGGGCCGTCGGAGCGCAGCCCCCACGCTCTGGGCCCAGGCCCCCCCGAGTGATGGCAAAATCAGGACGGGGGGGGGGTTCAATGTTTTTTGGCCTTCGGGGTCCCTTGCCGGTCCTCGGTTCCGTCAAGAAACGATTCCGGACGAAAAACCGGTCCCGGGGAAAGGGTCCAGACCGCTGGGGTCAACGTCATGGGAAATTCATGACGTCGGGGGTCTGGGAGTCGGGCCTGCCCCCCCAGAGGAGGAATATTGAAAAACAGTCGAAAAATAGTCTGCGACGATCTCTCGGGTATTCTTGAGCATGTCGATTTTCCGAATATTTGTTGTGTATGTTTCAGTACTTGTTGGATACTTGTTTTTTACTTCGTCCAGAATCCGCCTGTAGGGGGACATGCCCGACCTAACCCAAGCTGTGCCACGCGATCCTGGATCCTTCGCCTCCTCCGAGGCCGACGACAACGACGACGACGCCGCCGCCGCCGACGAGGACGACGACGAGGACGAGGACGACGAGGACGAGGACGACGACGACGACGAGGACGACGACGACGACGACGACGACGACGACGACGACGACGACGACGACGACGACGACGACGACGACGACGACGACGACAACGACGACGACGACGACGACAACGACGACGACGACGACGACGACGGCGACGACGACGACGACGACCCCGACGACCCCGACGGCTGCGGCGCCGGGCGCGTCTCTGCGCCGCTGCCCGGAGGCCGCGGGATAGGCCCTGCCGGAGGGCGGCGGGGCTGCCCGGCGGCGGCGGCGGCGGCGGCGGCGGCCTGGGCCAGGTGGACAGCGGCCGCCTGGGGCTGCCGCTGCACGCGCGGCCGCCGCTGCGGCAGCGCCTGCGGCGCTTCGACGGTGGCCAGCGCTTTCTCTCTCTCGCTCTCTCTCGGTTCGTTCTCTCTCGGTTTGTTCTCTCTATCTCTCTCTCTCTCTCTCTCTCGCTCGCTCTTTTGGTTTGCTCACTCTTTTTTTTTGTTTTGCTGTTTTCGTTTCTCTCTCTCTCTCTCTCTCTCTTTCTCTCTCTTTTGGTTAGTTCTCTCTATTTCTCTCTCTCTCTCTCTCTCTTCTGTTCTCTCTCTCTCTCTCTCGCTCTCGGGCGACGGGGGGGGCCACGCACGGGGTGGGGTGGGGAAAGGTGCAGAAAGGGGGCGCAGAGGGTGCACGCTTCTCCCCACCATTGATCACCGGCCCGCATTTAGAACGCCCAGCTCTCTCTCTCTCTCTCTTTCTCTTTCTTTATTTCTTTCTCTCTCTCTCTCTCTTTCTCTCATTCTCTCTTTGTCGCTTTCCCTCTCTCTCTCTCTCCCTCTCCCTCTCTATTGCTCTCTCTCTCTCTCCTTCTCTCTCTCTCTCTCTTTTCTCTCTCTGTTTTTCTCTCCCTATCTCTCTCTCCCTCTCGTTATGTTTCTCCTTCCCTCTCCATTGAGATTTCTTGATTAATTTCCTTCTCTCTCTCTCTCTGTCTCTACTCTCTTTATGTCCCTCTTTCTTTCTTTCTTTCTTTCTTTCTTTTTTTTTGTTCTCTCTCTCTCTCTCTCTCCGTAGGTGGCGTTCGTTCCTGAACGTGCCCAGGAGGCTCCAGACCCTGGTAGATTCCTTACGGCAGGTTCGCGTCGTGTCGACAGGCGGCGACCCCAGCACGGGCGTTAAAGGTTGAACGCCGCTTTTGGCCCAGAGTCGGCCCATCCTTGAACGATCTGGCCTCTTTGAAAGGGCCGATCGTTCAAGTTTGAACGATCCCCGCTTTGTCAGGAACCAAAGCCGGGGTCGACACGACGCGAACCTGCCGTATCTGATGAGGGCGGCGGTGCTTTCCATGGCCCGTTCGTTAAGGAATGTGCCCAGGAGGTTTCAGACCCTGGAGGATTCCGTATCTGATGAGGGCGGTGGTGATATTCATGGCCAAGGCTCAACTAGGGCTCCTGCGTCTTCCAGACCCTAAATTCCTGATCCAATGGTTTCTCATGCAATGCCCTCTCCGTTCAGTGGCCATTTTGGCTCGAGCTGGCTCGGCCCCCCCAGGCGCGGCGGGCGGAGCGAGCATGATGGCTGCGGGGCGGTGCCTCTGGAGGGCGCCAGGCGATAGCCACGTCGCGGCAGCAACGGCGAGCGCGGGCCAAGGCCTCGTCGGACAGGCTCGTGGAGCGCCTCAGCGCGAAGGTGGAGGAGCTCAGTGCGGGCTTCGATGCGGCCCTAGGGGCGCTCGACGCGGTGGCCGGGTGCGACGGCTTAGCGGACCGCCTGGCGGCTTGCGCTCCCGCGCTGGTCGCCCTGCTGGCGGGCCGCAGCCCGACGGCGCTGCAGAGGCTGCGGCGCAACGTCGCCATGCGTGCGGCTCGCGTGCTAGGCAGCTTGTGCAGCGCCCCCACGGCCGCCTTGCGACAGGCGGCGAGAGGGCCCAGGCTCGGGGGGGCCGCGGCCATGCAGAGCGCAGCCGGCGGCGCTGAGTTGGGCGTACTGGATAACCCAACGGCAGATGGCAACGCGAAGCAGGAGGCCCCGCACGTCACGGCGGAAATCTGTTCAGCACCAGCGGCCACGGCTGCTGGAAGGCGCCGCGCCTACTTCTCGGGCGAGCGGCCTGCCCCTGCGAGCGATGGCCGGAGTTGCTGGTGGTTGGCGGCGCCGCCGTTCGTGCCGGGCGCGGGCCAGCGTCTTGTGCGCCCTGGTGCTGACATCGAGGCGCTGCTGGACGAGCCTGCTGGCGCCGCATGTGGGCGGCCGTCGTCCGGGAAGCTGCCGACGACTGGGGAGTTGGATGAAGATTTCCTTGGTGAGGGGCGGGGAGAGCTGTGCACGGCGGGCGCGGCTTGGCCGCCTGTCCCTGCGCCTGTCATCGGCGAGTCCTTCTTCGGAGGCGTGGTCCCCGCCCACGGGGCAGACAGGAGCGGAGTCGGGCGGCCCAGCCGAGTCGAGCGATCTGCAGGTGAAGTTAACCGATGTCGAGCCCGACGAGGGCATCAAGTTGGACGCGAAGCAGGAGCCCAACGCCAGTATTTATGTTCAGCGGGGGCAGCGGCAGCACGTCCTGTTGCCCAGCTCGGAGCGCCCCACGGATATGCAGGAGGCGAAGCTGGAGCCCAACGTGTTGCTCGAGGCGCAGCTGGAGGCCACGCGTGAGCCGCCGCGGCAGTGCAGGTGCTGGCGAGTGGCTCCGAGTGGCTCGCGAGTGGCTCCAGGAGGCCCCCATGCTGGACGAGTCGGACTTCGACGGCGTGGAGGGGATGGACGACTGCAGTCTTCCCAAGGAGGTGTTCTGGGACGGGGCGGGCGCTGCTTGGCCGCCTTGCCCAGCGCCTGGCGTCGGTGCGTCCCTCTATGGAGGCGTGGACCTGAGGCGAACTTGGAAGCCCTTCTCGGCGCTGTCGATGAGAAAGCTGCCACCGCAAAGCAACGCAGGTCTGCAAGGCGAGAGTCTGGCTCGCGGAGGCTGAGCTGTTGCGGCTTTGCGAGAACGGCTATTCCTTCCTCAGTGCAGGGTGGGAGGCTGCCGAAGCCGCCATCGACCAGGCCATGGTGCATCATCGGGTGGCCGAGGAGAAGCTCCGCAAGTGCCAGGCCCGCTCGTGCGACATGCTGCGGCAGCAGGTGGCGGCTGATCGGGCCGCTGCCTCCGACCACGGCGTGATGCAGGTGGGGGAGGCCGTGGCAGTGGAGCAGCTCCGCGAGCGCGGAGCCCCCCTTGCGATCTGTCCTGGGTGTTGGCAGCGAGGTGGCAAATTCTCTGCATACACACGCGCGCCCTGTGCGCGCTGGAAGAGTTAAACCAATGCCCTCTCCGTATCTATCTGGTTATTGTTTTTTGTGTCCCTGTCTCTCTCTCTCTCTCTCTCTCTCGCTCTCTCTATCTCTCTCTCTCTCTCTCTTTCTCGTTTCCCGCTGTTGCCATAAAGGAGAGGGGTGATGGAGGTGTCGAGGTTTTCCCCAGAGAGGTCCAGGGCTCCGTTGTTCAAGTGCACTATGAAGAAAAGGGGTCCTGAAGGAACCAGGCGATGCCACGTCGGGTCGCCAATACGGCAGCACATTCGATAAGAACTCGTGCTGAAACAGATCTAGGGGGGGACAGCTAGTTGAATGTTGAATTTTCTAGGGCGCCTGTCGAGCCCATAGAGGCCCCCGATTTGGTTGTCTCGGAGCGATCGTGGGGACCCGTTGGGCCCCGCCTTGGTGCGGCTGGAAGGCCGAAAACAAAAAAAGAGAGAACGCGACGCATCTGGAAGTCATCACATCGGGCGCATTGGGGCCTCTCCCGGGGCTGCCTGTGGCCTCCTCTGCGCAGGCAGCGCCTGGGCCCGCTGTTGGGGCCGGTTTTGGGGGGCAGTCTCGGCTCCTGCCAGCCCGTGGAGGCCTCGGGCCTCGGCCGCTCTATAGGACCCTCATGGTGGCGCTCCTGTGGGGGCGCGCTCGCGGGGAGCCCGACGGCCGCGCCCGGTGGCAGAACCCTCTCCCGCCCGACGCTGCCCCCGACGTGGTCGCGTCGTTGGAACCTCCCGACGGGCGTGTTTTTGTTATATTTTCGGCTTCGGAGGGCCCTATCGCAGGGCCTCGGGACCATCCACCATAACAAAAAAGAGACTCGGGGCGAAAAAACCTGGTCCCGGGGCAAGGGCCGGCACGGCAAGGGCGCCGCCTTATAAAGAGAAGCAGGGCGGCGCACGTCTGGGGCCAGGACTTCGCCGGGAGGCGCATCGTCGGAGGGGGGCCCCCGAAGGGCCGCCACGCGCGCGACTTGTGATGCGAGAGCGCCCGACGTCCCCGGCATGCCCCCGGCATCCCAGGGGCATCTTTTCGACATCCCAGGGGCATTATGCATTCCCGGCATCCCCGGCATTCCCCCGACATCCCCGGCATTCCCCCGGCATCCCAGGGGCATTATGTGAGAACGCCCGACATCCCCGACATGCCAGGGGCATCTTTTTGGAGAGAAGACCCGACATCCCCGGGATTCCCCGTGCACCTCCCGCCTCCCCCCCCGTTCCTTTCTCCTTCGCTTCCGCTCCCTCGGGCCCTCGGGGCTCTCCCTCCCCCTCCTCCTCCTCCTCCCCTCCTCCTCCTCTCCTCCTCCCCTCCTCCTCCTCCTCTTCCTCCTGCTCCTCCTCCTCCTCCTCCTCCTCCTCCTCCTCCTCTTCCTCCTCCTCCTCCTCCTCCTCCTCCTCCTCCTCCTCCTCCTCCTCCTCCTGTCCCTCTACAGCTTCCCGCGCGCGTCGTGCTGGCCCCTTGCCCGGTGCCCGCCGCTCACCGAGGTGGGCTGCTGGAGGCCGGGGAGGCGGTGGCCCACCTCTTCTCCGCGCTGGTCTCGCCGGCAGACCTGTGGCGGTACTTCTTGTTCCGGTGCCCGGGGGCGGTGGGAAGCTACCCCTCCTTCTGGGAGGAGGAGGAGGAGGAGGAGGAGGAGGAGGAGGAGGAGGGGGAGGAGGAGGAGGAGGCGGAGGAGGAGGAGGAGGAGGAGGAGGAGGAGGAGGAGGAGGCGGTGGCTCGCCTCTGATCCGCCCTGGTCTCGCCCGCGGACCTGTGGCGATGCTTCCCGTTCCTGTGCCCCGGGGCGGTGGGATAAGCTACCCCAGACCTCCAACGCATGGAAAAAATCAAGACGGAGTTTTTTTTTAATTTTTATTTTCGCCCTCTAGCGACCCTCGCCGGGCCCCAGGACTGCAAAAACGACTCAGGACGAAAAGCCAGTCCTGGGGAATGGGTCGAGACTTCCGGGGACCCTGCATTGAAAACATCACGACATCGGATCTCTGGGACTCCATATGTCTGCCTCCGCTGTTTTTGATATCCACACATGTTCCGTCTGCGCTGCCGAACTCATACTCCGTCTCTCCAAGAAGAGAGAACGCTATAAACATCAACTGTTGGCGCTCCGCGCGGATTTCTTGGATCCGCGCTGGGCCCCCCCAGCGGCGCCTCTGGCGCCGCCCCTGGCACGCTCCGCGCGGCAGGGAGGTGGGTCCGGCACAGATCCAAGAAATCCGCGCGGAGCGCCAAAAGTTTCTGATTATTCCGTTGTTTCTTCTATTCCGGTGCCAGGGGCGGTGGAAAGCTACACTTTATTCAGGGGCCCCCAAATGGGGTGGTGACCACACCGTGTGGTGAGGCGGTGGGGACTCGGGGTCTCCGCACGGTTTTCGGACTCGGGCCGTTCTCCGAGGACGTCTCGGGCGACGGGCCTCCGAGGTCCCAAGTCCGTGCGGTGACGGACCGTGCAGTGGGGATCTCGAGGTCACCGCACGGTCTGTCACCGCACCGTTTCGGGACTCCAAATACCCGGGATGCATGCCTCCGCTGTTTTTGATATCCACCCTGGTTCCGTCTGCGCTGCCAAACGCATACTCCATCTCATCAGCACCTTCTTGAGAATGGAAGAAATATCAGGCGATCGCAAACAGGGATCCAGGGGGCGTGGATTAGCGACGGGTCCCGTTTCCGTGGGAAATCTCGGATTTCCGCCGCCGAACGAGGCGGCACCGGCCGCATTTTAGGGAGGGCACCCCCCCCGGTCCATGGACTTACTGCGCGCCAAATCCATGGATAAGGAGCCAGACGCGAACCCTCCCTTTCCCCCTCAGAAATCGTGGGGGGTAGGGGTAGGGTTCGCGCGTGGCCCCCTAATGGATCGCTAATCCATGCTTGCGCGCCCCCGAAGAGAGTAAAACCCCCATCACGGAGCTACGGTTGCAGCGCATATCTTCGTATTACTTTCGCTGGCGGTTTTAGCCAGAAGCCAGGAGTGTGAATGTGGCGTTGCCCTGCCATTCTTCGGGTCGTCGCTCGATCACACTTTTCGCTGTTCGGCCCCACTCGGACAAACGTGAAGGCCAGGTGTGCGTGTGGGCCGGCGATTGTATACACACAACTGTATATTTTTGCGGACGTTCATGAACACGTAAGTGGTTGCGTGTGCTTGCGCACGTGAACTATCTAATGGCCATCGCCCCATCCCGCCACCGTACCTGGGTTGTTGGTATGAAGCCTATTTGATGTTCGTTAGAACCGCGTGCCAGACTTCTCGGGGCCTCTTGGAGTCAGTTTGGACGCCTCTTGGGGTCCGTTTGGGGTCTCTTGGGGCCCCTTGGGGGCGTCTTGGGGCTTCCTGAGGACCCCTCGCGGCCGAGGACTCGAAATGTCCGGTCGGGTTCCCCATCTGGTCGCCCTCTTGGAGCCGTCGTTTGGGCCTCTTGGGCCATCTTGGGCGCCTCTTGGACCGTCTTGGGGCCGCCGTCTTGTGCCGTTTTGGCGTTGGGCCGTCTTGGGGCGGTCTTGGGGGCCTCTAAGACCGACCGTCTGGGAGCGTCGGGAAGCTGAAAAGGCGAGAACGCAAAAATTTGACAAAATCCTGCGGAAACAAAACAATGGTTTTGGCATATTGGGGCCTTCTTGGGAGGCCTCATGGAGGTCCCTTGGGCCGTCTTGGAGGCCTCTTGGGTCGTCTTGGGGCCATCTTGAGCGTCTTGGAGCGATCGTTCGGCGACTCGGGGCCCTCTTGGTCCGACGTTGGGGCTTCTTGGGGCCCTCTTGGCCCGTCTTGGGGCCCTCTTGAGGCCGAACAAGCGGCGCGGGGACACTCGGCAAGGCCCAGGGGAACCGCGCCACGCGCCCCAGGAGATTTGGGCTCTGAACCCTTTTACAGATTCCTCAGGAGTGAGGACTGGGGCTCAGAGGATTGGGCCCAGAACCTGGGGACACGCCCACTCTGTGCCCTGCGGCACGGTGGCGGATAGAGCACAGCAAGTACCGTCTATCGTGGCGCAATTCTGTCAATGTGTTTTAGGAATGCGTGTGCGTTTTTTTGTGTGGGGAGGAACGTGCACTCGGATAATAGGTTGCCGATGACCAATCCCCCCCCTAGGGGCGGCCAGGAGATTATATTTCGCTGTGGCCTCCTACCACCGAATTCGCTAATGGCGCCCTCCCCCTTCTTAGCAACCCACAGTGGCCCTCCGACCCCCCTCTCGTGTTATCTCGGCACTCATTGTCTCTTCCTGGGCATGCCCTTCTTCCGCAACCGATTGTGCCCCCCTTGGCCCTCAGGACTCAAGGGTCAGGGAAGCTCATGAAGGGCCCATGGCATTCTTAATTCACTCCAAGACGGCCACACCAGGCAACCATATAATTCCAAGGTTAATTCCCGAATGACAACGTGTGGGAACATCAGAGGAACTCATCAGCATTCTTAGCATCGTTGCCGTGCCCACTTTTGGGTTCCAGATGGCTTCCAATGAGACTCATAGGATCCGTGAAGCTGTTACAGCAGCCCAAGAGGGCCCCAACATGTCCCCAGCATGGCGCGGAAATATTCCAAGAGGGCTGACAGTGGGCCCAAGACGGCCTCTGGAGAATCCGTAGCCATTTTGGCTCAAGCCATTTTGGCTCAAGGCTCGAGGCGCTCGCGCGAAGCTCGCGCGGTTCGCGCCGCGAGGGGGGTTCGCGCCACGCAGGGCAGGGCCAGGCCGCGGCGGCGTGGAGTCTCGGGCGAGCCGCGGACGGCCGAGGTGCCATGGGGAACGTGTTCAGCGTGTGCTGTGGGAAGAAGTTCGAAGGGCAGCCAAACGAGGATATACAGACTGGCGATGCCGGAGATCTGGAGGGTGATGTCCACATCATCATTGCCGGCATCGACTACTCCTGCGACCGGACTTGGGCGGGCAAGAACCCTCTGGACACGCGCTGCGCCTTCGACATCTACGTCGACCTGGCTCGGAGGTGCAAATGCGCCACCATCAAGACGCTGTGGAATCAGCAGTGTACCAAGGCGGGCTTCCTAGCAGCGATAGAAGAGGTCGGCGAGAAGGTCGAAGAGGGAGATTATTTCATTCTCTATTACACCGGTCACGGTGACCTTCTCGAGGACGACAACGGCGACGAGACAAGCGGGAAGGACTCCGCTCTGTGCCTATTAGGCGCCGACGGCAACGCGGAGCCGCGCTACGAGGTTTGGCTGCGCGACGACGACATCGCCGAGGCCATCATGGACAACGTCACCAGCGACGCCAAGATCATAGCTATTATGGACTGCTGCCACTCAGGCACCGTCATGGACTTCAACAATCCGCGGTGGGCCCGGGAGGGCTTCAAGGCTATCTCCATCAGCGGCTGCGAGGACAGCCAGACCTCCGCAGGCACTGGCAAGGGCGGCATGTTCTCGCGGGCCGTCTCGAGGGCCATCCAGGAGCTGCAGAAGAGTGAGGACGAGGGGTACATGACCAGCGCCCTGTACAACAGGACCTTGCAGTTCTACAGGGAGCACAAGCGGGCCGGTCACTTGCAGAGCATCGCTATAAAAGGCGTTGGCATCTACCCCCGGGAGATGGTGTGGCCGTTGCAGCCCGAGCAGACTTACATCTCGCCCGCAAACGCTAGTCTGCGGTCCCCGTAGCGCTGCAGCCTGGCCGAAGGTGAGAGGTGAAAGAAGGATGGTGTGCCAGGCGGGGTTGCACGGGCAGGCAGGCTGGAGTGTATAGTTTAATGTCTCGCCTTCATCGTGTAATGTCTCGTCCTGAGGTTGGCCCAGGCCTCTCGGCAGATCCATTCGTTCCCCTATGTATCGTTTAATGTCTCGCCTTGAGGTTGGCCCAGGCCTCTCGGCAGATCCATTCGTTCCCCTATGTATCGTTTAATGTCTCGCCTTGAGGTTGGCCCAGGCCTATCGGCAGATCCATTCGTTCCCCTATGTATCGTTTAATGTCTCGCCTTGAGGTTGGCCCAGGCCTCTCGGCAGATCCATTCGTTCCCCTATGTATCGTTTAATGTCTCGCCCTGAGGTTGGCCCAGGCCTCTCGGCAGATCCATTCGTTCCCCTATGTATCGTTTAATGTCTCGCCCTGAGGTTGGCCCAGGCCTCTCGGCAGACCCATTCGTTCCCCTATGTATCGTTTAATGTCTCGCCCTGAGGTTGGCCCAGGCCTCTCGGCAGACCCGCGCGGCCCGCGCGGCCCGAGCGCCGCCGCGCGCCCGCTGCGGCGCGCGCACCGCGCGGTGGCGCTGGGGCGGCGCCAGACGCCCGCCCGCCCCCACCCTGTGCGGGGGCGCCGCGTCGGCTGGCGTCCGCCAGGGGGAAAAATTATACCAGAGAGAGCACCAGTACGGCCATAGATGCCCCCCCAAGAGTCTCCATATTGCACGGGCTCTGAGCGCAGAGCGGCATGCACCTGCAAATAGCAGGGGCGCCATTCCCAGTCGCACTGCCGACATTGTCTGCTGCACGTTGTGGCGCCATGCTGCGAGGCTCGTATTTCTGCAGAAGTGTGCGGTGACAGTGGGGTACACCCGCATATGGCAGGGGGGGCCCATTACCGTTCGCACCGCAGACATTGCTTGCTGCAGTTTGTTCCAACTCAAAAAAAAGACGGCCTCTGGAGAAGCCTAAGAGGGCGCCTCAAAACGGCCTCAAGATCGCTCAGACGCGCCCCATTGTTCTCCAAGAGGCCTCCAAGATGGCCCCAAGAGGGCCCACGAGGGCCGAAGGTAACCCCAATGTGGTCAACATCGGCCACGCTAGGGTTTCAAGAGGACTCCAATACGCCAACGTCACAATCGCACACACACATATATATATATAAATATATATATATATATATATATATATATATATATTATAGAACCCATCCACATGTTCGATTTCATGCCAACCAGCCCTTGCTCTGCAGCCCATAGAGACTCCACAAGCGCCTCGGAGAAGCCAACGCGCATTCAGATGGAACCCCGCATCGGCTGGACTGTCGCACCCCTGGGGCTCCAAATGGCTTCATGATTTGTTCGGTGGAGCCACGATGGCACACGTATGCTATAAGAGAGCCCACAGGGCACCCGGGAGAGCCCCCAGGCGGCCCGAGAGTGCCCTGGGAGGCATCCAAAACGATGCTGGGAGACCACACGGGGCCCAACGGGGCGGAACATGATTCCACTGAGCACAGAAGGCAACATGAGGATTGCAAGGAGGACTCCCACACGGCCGAGATTATCCAGAAGCGTGAGGAGGTGAGTCGGAGGAGGAGGGGGAGGAGGAGGAAGCGGGACTAGGAGGAGGATCGGCAGAAGGAGGACGATGACGACAAGTTGGCGGACGAGGCGGAGGAGTAGCACGAGGATTACCGGTTGGAGGAGGAGGAGGAGGAGGAGGAGGAGGAGGAGGTGGAGAAGGAGGAGGAGGAAGGGGGCAGGAGTAGGAGGAGGAGGAGGAGGGGGGGGGGAGGAGGAGGAGCAGCAGCAGCAGCAGGAGGAGGAGGAGGAGGAGAGAGAGGAGAGAGGAGAGAGGAGAGAGGAGAGAGGAGGGAAGAGGAAGAAGCACGAGAAGGGAGGCAGGAGGAGCCATGGAGGAGGAGGGGACTGGAGGAAGCGGAGGTGGATGGACAAGAGCAGACCCCTAGTTGCCACGGATGCCTTCAGCCGCCGCATGAGCGCGCACACGGAATTTGCGACGTTGCCACCCGCTTGCGACGCTGCCACCCGCTTGCGCCGGGCGCGGCGGGTGGCAGCGTCGCGTGGCAGTCTCCTGGTCTCGTGCCGCAGGGGCGTGCGCCTCGTCGTGTCGGCACGTGGTGGCTGATTTCTCAGCTACCTTCGCGAGACGACGCATCCGATCGCTGGCCCGGCTGACTTGCAGCGTCGTTCAAGATGCGTCTCTGAAGTGGGTCCTGCATGTCTCCTCCTGGTGTTGCGCAACCCCCTTTCCAACACGGCGCCGAGCACACCCACGATCGCCGCGTCTTCGGCACGCCCGCGGAGCCGTCGTCGGTCGATCTGGAAGTGCCCCCAAAGCCACGGCCGCAGCTGCGCCCGTACCAGCAGGCCCCGTGGACCCTATCCAGGTCCCGCCGCTCTTCCTCCTCCTCCTCCTCCTCCTCCTCGTCGTCGTCCTCCTCCTCCTCCTCCTCCATCTCCTCCTTCTCCTCGTCCTCCCCCTCCTCCTCGCCCTTCTCCTCCCCCTCCTCCTCCCCCTCCTCCTCGCTCTCCTCCTCCTCCTCCTGCTCCTCCTCCTCCTCCCTCCTCCTCCTCCTCCCTCCTCCTCCTCCTCCGTGCCCTCCTCCTCCTTGCGCTCCTCCTCCGCCCCTCCTCTCCTTCTTGCCCTCCTCCTCCTGCTCTCCTCCTCCTCCTCTCATCATCATCTCATCATCATCATCATCATTATCATCATCAGCATCATCAACATCATCATCATCCTCCTCCTCCTCCTCCTCTCCTCCTCCTCATCATCATCATCATCATCATCATCATCATTATTCCATGGACGTGACGATGAATCGGAGCGCATGTGATGGCAACTCAGTGCCGTTGTGTACTGTCCAGGGGGGTCCTCCATGGCGGGCGTTTCCTCCTGCTCCTCCTCCCCCTCCTCCTCTTCCTCCTCCTCCTCCTTCTCCTCCTCCTCCTTCCCCTTCTCCCCCTTCTCCTCCTCCTCCTCCTCCTCCTCCTCCTCCTGTTCCTCCTCCTCCTCCTCCACAACCACCACCATCACCATCTCCTCCTTCGTCCCCCGCCCGTCCTCGTCCGCCTCTTCCGTTTCGGCGACAGCCAGCCGCCCCGACCAAGGCGAGAGATCCTAGGAGCGAAGGCAAATTTGATGCCGCATCGACCGAAGCCCCTGGTTGGGCCAGAACTCGCTAAACTGATGGCATTCGGCGCTCACAACATGGTGCCTGGAGGGCCAGGCCTTCTTTCAATAGTTCAGTGCTCGGTGTGCTTGCCGGCTGCCTCGGCAAATGCGCATGGCTCTAAGCTTGCCCAGGCTTCCCCCGAAACGGAGTAATTCGTGGTCTCGTGCTGTTCCTGATACGAAGCAAGTCCAGAACGTTTTCATCGGAGCCTCTTGTGTCCACCCGTCCCACGATATGCTGGTTTCGGGAAGGGGATGTTTGGAGTGCGAAGTCCAGCCTCCACGCGACTCGCAAGTCATGACCTCCCGACGGAGCACCCACCAGCGTACACCTCCTCGCGCAATAATTTGTTTGAACGCGTTTTTTGTTTGAAGAAAATATCGAGCTTGACCCACATTGCCAGCCTCTCGTTTACGAGAGGTCGCTGGTTTCTGGATTGTGTGGCTGATATCTCGTCATCTGGGTGGCCCTCCTCTTGATCTTCCTTCTGCCTTTGCCTGCGAAGCTGTCTTTCTTCCTCGCACCCTGCTGTTGGCGAAGGGGGGCCTCTTATGCCCTGACAGGGCGAGACCCTCTCAACATCCTCGCCGTCCCCCCTTCTCTCGCCATCGCTCGGACCTGTGCACTTCTCGCGGCGAGGGCCATCGAGGAGCATCCTGGACCATCGAGCAGCAACACGGGCACGACATCGGACGATGCACGGGGAAGGGACGTCCGAGCGACGGCAAGTTTTTGAGTGTCGGGGCCACGCTCGGCCGGCACTTCGGGACGATTGGCGTGTCTCCGCGGCGTGTCCCTCGACCGCGGCGCGGCCGAGGCCCGGCGCCCCGGGGCCGTCGGGAGCTTCCGCGGACCTCGCCGCACATTTCGGATGCCTCCTGCCCAACGGTCTTAGGTTGTCGACGTCGTCCACGTTGGCGTCTTCCGTCCAGGTCGTCGCCGCTGCCGCTGCCACCGTCGTCGTCGTCGACGTCGTCGTCGTCGTGCGCCGTCCATCGTCTGTCGTCGTTGTCCGCCGCGATCGTCGTCGTCCGTCGCCGTCGCCGTCGTCGTCATTCACGTTACTGCCCTGGCAGGCTCGGAGACCCCTCGACACCCGACTTCAGCCCGAAGCTGGCGCCGCATGCCGAGTGGGGGAGGGGGGGCCCGCGCGGCGACGGCGTCGACGTCGACGACGGCAGCAGTGGCGACGGCGATGGCGGCGTCCTCGGTTTGTAGGTTTGGGGGCGCTCGTGGGGAGGAGGTGGAGGGAAAGGAGGAACAGCATCAGCAGGAGGAGGAGCAGCAGGGAGGGAGGATGGCGACGACGAGCAGGCGACGGGGGGTTGCCGGCGAAGAGAGAGGCCGACTGCGGGGGGGAGCGAGCCCAGGTCCCTTCCCCTCCAACACCCTCCGCTGCCACCCGCCTCCTTCGCTCTTACCCTCCCCCGCAGGATCGGTGTGCCCCGAGATTCGGCCCCGCATGAAAAGGCCATAGCGCCGCGAACAGATCACAAGCGTAAGCGGGGGGAGGAAGCATGCACCACTAGAACCTGGTGGGCCCTGTAAGACCCCTTCAGTGCCACTTCCCTGCAATCCTCGATGCCCCCCGTTGCTTGCCCTACCGCTACCGAACGCCCGGGGAGCGCTAGCTAGGTGTATCCATAGCGCCTAGATGGGAGTGCCCCCACCCTCGAAGCCGAACCTCCGGACCCTGTCCTGAAGCACACTCGAATCAGGATCTCGCGGCGGCTTCGGCCATGGCGACGATCACGCCGACGACGCCGACGACGACGCCGGCGACGACGACGACGACCACCACATTGACGATTGATCGACGACGACCCTCTCAGCGCCCTCCTCCTGACGCTGGCCGTAGTGTTGCTGGTATGGGAGGCTTCTTGAGGGCCTACGTGGGGCTCGGGTGGCTTCTCTTTGTGGTTCCCACGCCCTCGCATAACCGCCTTAAGGCGAGAGGCCCGGGGAGACAGAGCACGCTCCTATTCCGTGAGTGCCTCCGCCAGTCGCCGCCGCCGCCGCCCACCGGCGACGCTCGTCGCCCACCCCATCGGGCGGCGGCGGCGGCGGCGGCGCCTCGGTCGACGTCGATCGGCGCTCGAGCGGCACTCCTCTGCGGAGAGGAGGAGGAGGGAGGAGGAGGAGGAGCAGGAGGGGGCAGGGGGGAGGAGGGAGGGCGAGGAGGAGAGAGGGGAGGGAGGGCGAGGAGAGCGAGGAGGGCGAGGAGGGCGAGGAGCAGGAGAGCGAGGAGGACGGCGAGGAGGGCGAGGAGGAGGCCCCTCCCCGTGGGGGGGGCGGCGGCAGGGGCGGCGCCTCGCCGTTGGAGCTGCTGAGGCCGCCCCGCCTGAAGGCGGACCCCTCGCTCGCCGAGGCGGGGCCCCGCGCGCACCGACGCTCCTCCGGCGCCCCTCGCCCGCGTCCTCCTCCTCCTCCTCCTCCTCCTCCTCCTCCTCCTCCTCCTCCTCCTCTTTCCTCCTCCTCCTCCTCCTCCTCCTCCTCCTCTCCTCTTCCTCATTTTCCAGCCCTCCTCCTCCTTCCCCCCCTCCTCCTCCTACTCCTTCTCCTCCTCCTCCTCCTCGTCCTCCTCCTCATCCTTCCAGCCCCTCCTCCTCCTCCTCCTCCTCCTCCTCCTCCTCCTCCTCCTCCTTCTCCTCCTCCTCTTCCCCCTCCTCCTCCTCCTCCTCCTCCTCCTCCTCCTCCCCATCCTCCTCCCAGCCCGTCATCCGCCCCCTGTCTTCATCCCTGGCGTATCCCCCCTGCTACCGCCCTTCCCCTTCTTCCTGCTGCCCTTCTCTCACACAGCTCACTATCCGGGCACGCGGCGAGGCGATGGTGCGGAGGCCCCCTCACCTGCAGGGCCGGGGCTCCTCCCTCCTTTTCCTGCCCATGTTCTTCCCCCCATCCTTCTTCCTCGCTGCCGTCTTCTTCCTTCCTCCACCCCTTCCCTCCCCCCACGAGGGAAGAACGGATAGAGGAGGGAGGAAGACCAGGAGGGAGGAGGGGAATGGAGAAGAAGGAGACGAGGAGGGGGATGATGATGATGATGATGATGATGATGATGATGATGATGATGATGATGCTGATGATGATGATGATGATGATGATGCTGATGATGCTGATGATGCTGATGCTGATTGTGATGATGATGATGATGATGATGATGATGATGATGATGATGATGATGATGATGATGATTATGATGATGATGATGATATGATGAGGATGATGATGAAGATGATGAGGATGAGGATGAGGATCAGGAAGAGGATGAGGATGAGGATGAGGATGATGATGATGATGATGCTGATGATGATGATGATGCTGATGCTGATGCTGATGCGGATGCGGGTGCGGATGCTGATGCTGATGCTGATGCTGATGCTGATTATGATGCTGATGCTGATGCTGATGATGATGATGATGATGATGATGATGATGATGATGATGATGATGATGATGATGATGATGATGCTGCTGCTGCTGCTGCTGCTGCTGCTGCTGATGATGATGATGATGATGATGATGATGATGATGATGATGATGATGATGATTGTGATGGTGATGGTGATGGTGATGATGATGATGAGGAGGAGGAGGAGGAAGAGAAGTAGGGGGAGGAGGAAATTGAAGAAGAAGGGAGAAGGACGAGGAGGCAGGAGGAGGGGGACAAGGAGGAAGGGAAGAAGGACCAGGGAGGGTTCTTTGCGCTCCCATGTTCGACTGCGCACGCGAGCATGTGGGCGGTTGTATTAATCATCTTCTTCAGTTTTTTTTGTAATTTCCAACGACTTACAGGAACAACCGAACACGCCCCCAGAGCTTCACACATGTTGGGACAGACCACGATCACGAAACCTCGGGAACCGAACGTGTCCTCTTCCAAAGCGAGGCCCCGTGTGAATGCAACAAGACGGCGGGTTGTGGTGTCCAGCTTTGTTGGCGATCCACATGTCGCGGACTTGCCATGGCAGGCTAATTTGAATTCCAGTTCTACACTCGCCATACCACTGCAACCTTTATTGTCAGCACTAGCGCTACCACGGCTACTACTCTTGAGCGCCCGTCGAAGTGGGCAACACGCAGGATCAGTATGGGTGCTAGGATGAGCGGGAGCAGGAGGATGAGGATAAGAGGGGGGGCAAGGAGAGAACAGGATTTCCACGGGCATCCCCTGAGACACGAATGGGCCGCCATCGCCGTACCCCGCAGAGGAGCTGGATTCGGTGAGCGGGCACACCCATGATGGAGCCTAAAGCGAGGGGTGATGGATGACCACGGCGTCGAGGTGGACGACGACTACGACCCCACGATCTCTCCTGGGGCGCGTTCTGGCCAGCATCGCGCGGCGAGCCCAGCCGTGGTCGCGAGGTCGCCCACGGAGGCCCTGAAGGCCCACGAGCACGATGACGATTTCGACAACATCGGCGACGACGGCAATGGCGGCGTTGGCGACGGAGACGGCGGCAGCGGCGAAGGCGAAGGCGAAGGCGATAGCGACGACCTACGGTAGGGTCGCGTCTTGTCGACCCGCGGCGACCCCGCCGCGGGCGTTCAAGGTTGAACGCCGCCAGTGGCCCAGAATCGGCCTACAGGGAACGATCGGGCGATCGGCCAGCCGCCGATCGTTCAAGGTTGAGCGATCGACGCGGTGTCAGAAACCAACGCCAGGGTCGTCACGACACGAACCTGCCGTACGACGGCGACCAGCGACGGCGGCGGCAGCGACGTCGTGGACACCCCGTCGGGCGGCGGCGGACCGCCCTCGGCCCCCGCGGGCCCGAGAAGGTGGCCTCACTGCCGCGGCTCGTGCTCAAGAACGCGGCGACCACCCCATCGGGCGGGGGGGGCGCGCGCCACAGGGGGCCCTCTGCTTCGCCTCGCGTCGGCTCAGCCTCGGCTACACGCAAGGGCTACCTTCGCCAGAGTGACCTCAGGTGCGCGGCTTTCGGCGGGCCCGCGGGACTCAGGCCTAACCACGCGTGCCGCCACTGTCGCATTGCGTGCAACGATCGGCAACCCGCGCACCAAAGATCATTTTTGCCTAGGGCCGCCATTGGGTGTGGCCGACAGCTCGGCTCGGCTCTCAGGAGCACCGCTTCGGGGGAGTACGGTCTGGAACGTTTGCTTGCCGCGTCGCGGCGCCGACTCCGGCCCACCACGCTTCGGCGCAACACGCTGCCCACGTTCTGGTCCCCGAGCGTCAACTTCCCGAGCTATTCCCAGCCTCCCGCCCCGCTCCTGACCGCTGCCACAGACTCGGGGGGGGTGATATATCGACCTCCAGGCGCCCATTCACCACCCCTGCGGGCCCGACAGCCCACCCCGCCCAGGGACGTGCGGATGCGCTATGAGAAGTCGATCGCCGATCTACCGGCGATGCATCGCCGAGTCCAGATAGCCAGTGTCCTCCTACCGCTCCTCGCCGGCGGGCCCGTGGGGAAGTTAGCTGGGGCAGGCCTCTTCAGAAGGCGGCGGGGCTGCTCAGGAGCCCTCGCGCCCTCTGAGAAGCCGCCTCTGTCTCCGGGGAAGGCGCACCAGACTTCTCAGAAGGCGCGAAGGCTTCCGGGATGCCCCGCGTCCTCCTCCTCCTCCTCCTCCTCCTCCTCCTCCTCCTCCTCCTCCTCCTCCTCCTCCTCCTCCTCCTCCTCCTCCTCCGGCCCGCCCCCGCACACGTCCCCCTCGGCCCGCTTCGGCTCGCCTCGGCTCTGGGGCCCGGTGGGGCGCCTCCGCGAGTGGGCGCGGGCGGGCAGATGGGGACGTCGGCCGATCGAGGATCTCTTCTCCTGGGCGCGGCCGGGGACCGGCCGAGGCTCGGTCGGCCGACGTCGATCGGCCGAGAATCGAGGACCGAGATGTCTGGACCTCCTCCTCCTCCTCCTCCTCCTCCTCCTCCTCCTCCTCCTCCTCTCCTCCTCCTCCTCCTCCTCCTCCTCCTCCTCCTCCTCCTCCTCCTCCTCCTCCTCCTCCTCCTCCTCCTCCTCCTCCTCCTCCCCTCGGGCCTCCCGGGGCCTTCGGGCGGGCGCGGGGCGGGCGAAGGCGGTCCGTCGTCGCTCGACCGAGAATCGGGGATCGAGACTTCTGGCCGCCCGTGGGGCTCTGAGCGCCTCCGGGCGAGGAGCGACGTGCTCATCCTCGCTGCGCCCCAGGCCTGCGAGCATGCCCCAAAGTTCCGCTGCAGGGCTCCGCCTCCAGTGCGCGTGGGCGCTGGCTGGAACATCGGGCGGATTCCGTCGTATTGGGGATGCTGTGGTCGGCATTATACGGGAACGCGCCGACTGCGGATGGATTGGGGGCCCCCGAGGGGACCAAGGGCTCGTGGTCTCCCACCCTCGCGTTTGCGAGCAACGCCAGCGTCGAGACTGCGTTCTCGCGCTCATGTGCTCTGCGCCATTCTGCCCTGCCAAGTCGCGACGACGAAAGCGAAGAGGAGGATCACGACGACGACGAAGACGCGGGACCCAAATCCATCCCCGCACAGACGTGGCGACGAGAACCTCCGGAGACGCGATAAAATAGCAAGCAACGGCGGCGGCGTCGACGACGACAACAACAGACGACGACGAGCGACGACGTTGACGACGACGAAGGCAGACGACGAAGGCAGACGACGACGACGACGACGACGACGACGACGACGACGTTGACGGCGACGGCGGCGACGACGTCGACGACGACGATGACAACGAGGCGGCGACGACGACGACGACGTTGACGACGGCGGGGGCGACGACGTCGACGACGACGACGACGTCGACGACGACGACGACGACGACGACGGCGACGGCGGCGGCGGCGGCGACGACTGGATGGGGCAGGCACCCCGGCCGTTGAGCCCGGCGTGAGTTTATGAGGGCCCAAGGGGTGCCGCAGCCGAGAGCGGGTGCCCGCTCCGCGCCCCCCAGTTATATCGGGCGCTTCGATGCCTTCATCGATGCCTGGGGCCTCGGCATTGTGGCGCCCTCTGGCCCGCTGAGGTGGCCCAGCCCTGGCTCCTACCTCGAAGAAGAACAAACATCCTAAGCATAAACTTTTGGCGCTCCGCGCGCCAGGGAGGGGGCACCGGCGCAGGTCCAGGAAAAATCTGCGCGGACCTCCAAACGTTTCATGCTTATGCCGCTCTCTCTTCCTCTGCTGCCAGCAGCTGCGTGCCCTCCCCCGCCCCCCAGACCTCTTTGGCCGGGAGACTCTCCATGGGGGGGGGATCCCATGGGGGGGCAGGAGGGGATCCCCCCCATGAGATCCCTTCCTGTCCCCCCGTGGGATCCCCAGGGGATCCTAAGGGATCCACTCCCCTGGGATCCGATCCCCCCATGGGATCCCCCCCCATGAAGAGTCTCCCGATTTGGCCCTGCCCCCTGCTTCGCTTGCTGCTTCACTATACCCCGGCGACGGTCCGACGGCCCCAAGGCCCCGAAGCCGCCCCTCACAGGAGGCCCAGCACGGCGGCAGTCTGACCGCCTGGCTCGTTTGAAGTCGGGCCTTTCCCCCTACAGGGGGATTTCCGACGAGAATTAAAAATACCCTCCAAAATGCTCCAAAGAGGTCAAACAACCCTAAAAAAAAATAGTCCCCAGACTGTTTTTGGAGCATGTTTGGGTTATGTTTAGGGTATGTTTGATTTTTCGTCGAAAATCCCCCTGTAGGGGGACAGGCCCGACATAATGCTCGTTCCACGGCGCCCGACGTCGAGGTCTTCGGGTCGGAGCTCCTGTCTCCGGCGGCCGCTGGGAGCGATCGGGGCAGCCCCCGGCGTGGCGCTCTCGGCCAGCGGCGAGGCGCGGTTGCCTGAACGCATCCTGAGGAGAGGCGTCTTCCAATCAGGAGGGAACAAAACACACAGACACAATTAATCGCCGATTCCCCAGAAAATATAAGAAAATATGTGAGTTGGGCGGGAAGACAGAAACCCAGAAAATATGGGAAAATATGGGGAATCCTTTTATTTGTGTGTATTTGTTTGTGCGTCCCAGGGCCCCTTCATCCAAGAACCACCGAAAGCGTCCGACAGCTTCCAACAGCCCCAGACGACGTGCCCTGGTCCGACATCGCCTCCCCCCTGACCTTCCAGGAGGGCTAAAACATAGCACCCGACCTAAGAACCTATCCCAAAGCTATTATACGTCTTGGTTTTAGGCTGTTTCGCTCCGCTTTTTAGGTTTTTGGGTCTCCAGTGCTAAAAAGCAGCTCTCTGGAAGGTCAGGGCCTGGCCTGTCCAGGGAGACTTTCTGGCCTGAATCTCAAGGGGCACCCGGCTGGGACGACGAGAGGGCCCCCTGTGGGAGGCCCAGGAAAAAATGCCCCCAAAGACCTCCGAGGCCAGACATTGCGACAGACTGGCAGCTCCGAGGAGGAAAAGGTACCCTTTTCCCACGTTTCCGCCTTTTTGGGCTCAACGGAGGCCCTCGTCGCCACCGCTGGATTCGCATCGAAAATGTGGTCAGAGCGCACCCTGGGAGAGGTCTGGGGAATAGCAGTATCGGTGTGCCTCTTGCTTTTCCCAGCAACCTCGATAGTGGTCAGGGCGCCGGATGCCTGGGAGTGTCCGCTTCTCAGGGGCAACGTTCGGGGGAGTAGGGTTAAGTCGGGCCTGTCCCTCTACAGGGTCAAACATTGTTTAAAAAAACTAGTCTGGGGACGATGCTTTTACTATTTTTTGCAATGCATGAATATTTGTTGACTCTCTTTTATGGTTCGTCCAAAATCCACCTGTAGGAGGACGTGCTCGGCCTAAGGTTTCTATGATTTTCTAACCTACTGTAGCCTATCACCAGAAAGAATTTCGAGCACCAAGCAAGTACCAAAACCTGAGGGTTTTCGCGTGTCGGGCCCATGGGAGACATTCGTTCGACCCTGTTTCGACACTGTCTCGACACTCTTTCGACACTGTTCTGGGTGCTCGAAAATTATTTCCCGGATGTGGTCCTTAAGTGCGATGGGGATATTGTCTTCTGGCCATCCGATTTCGACTTTTTTTCAGTACGGGGTCCCCGGAAGTCTCGACCAATTCCCCAGGACCGGTTTTTCATCCTGCGCCATTTTTTGACGGTCCCGGGACCCGGCGAGGGCCGCCAGAGGCCGAAAATCGAGGAAAACCTCCGTCTCGATTTTTGTCCATGCGTTGGAGGTCTGGGTCTGAGGAGCCTCGAGCGGGGGACCACCGACGTGGAACTGGACACACCTCGCCAGAGCAGGTCGGCACGGACCTTGGGCACGGGGGACGATCCTGCTCCCCCTCCCCCTCCTCCTCCTCCTCCCCCTCCCCGTCCCCCTCCTCCCCCTCCTCCTCCTCCTCCTCCTCCCCCTCCTCCTTCCCCTCCTCCTCCTCCTCCTCCTCCTCCTCCTCCTCCTCCTCCTCCTCCTCCTCCTCCTCCTCCTCCTCCTCCTCCTCCTCCTCCTCCTCCTCCTCCTCCTCCCCTCCTCCTCCTCGCCTCCTCCTCCTCCTCCATCCTCCTCCTCTCCTCTCCTCCTCCTACCGTCCTCCCCTCCTCCTCCTCTCTCCTCCTCCTCCTCCCCTCCTCCTCCTCCTCTCCTCCTCCGTCCTCTCCTACTCCCCTCCTCCCCTCCTCCTCTCCCTCCTCCTCCCTCCTCCTCCTCCTCCCTCCTCCTCCCGCCTCCTCCTCCTCCTCCTCCTCCTGCTCCTCCAGCTCCGCCTCACCCTCCTCCTCTCCTCTCCTCTCCTCCTCTCCTCCTCCTACGCCTCCTCTCCTCCTCCCCTCCGCGCTGCCTCATGCCTCCTCCTCCTCCTCCTCCTCCTCTCCTCCCTTCCTCCTGGGCCTTCCTTGTTCGAGGGAGGAGGAGGAGGGCGAGGGGAGGAGGAGAGAGGAGGGGGGAGGAGGAGAGGATGGAGAGAGGAGGAGGAGAGGAGTAGGAGGAGCATGACGCGGAGGATGGGAGAGGAGGAGGGGAGGGGGGAGGAGGATGAGGAGGATGAGAGGTAGGGGGAGAGGATGAGGAGAGGAGGGGACGAGGAGGGGGAGGAGGAGGGAGAGCGAGGAGGGGGAAGAGAAAGGAGGAGGGGAGGAGGAGGGGGAGGAAGAGAAGGAGGTAGGAGAGTAGCGAAGAAAGGAGATTGGAGGATGAGGGAGACAGGAGGATGAGGAGAGGAGGGAGATGAGAGGGGAGGAGGAGAGGGGGAGAGGAGGAGGATGACGGAAGAGGAGGAGGAGAGGAGGGAGGAGAAGGGGAGGAGGAGGAGGAAGGGAGGAGGAGGGGGAGGGGGAGGAGGGGGGGGAGGGGGAGAGAGGAAGGAGGAGGAGGGAGGAGGAGGAGAGGAGGAGAGAGGAAGGCGGAGAGGAGGAGAGAGGAGGAGAGGAGGGAGAGAGGAGGAGAGGAGAGGAGGAAGGAGGAGAGGAGGGGAGGAGGAGGGAAGAGGGAGGAGGGAGAGGAGGAGGGGGAGGAGGAGAAGAAGGGGGATGGGGAGGAGGAGGAGGAGCAGGATCTTCCCCCGTGCCCAAGGTCCGTGCCGACCTACTCTGGCGAGGTGTGTCCAGTTCCACGTCGGTGGTCCCCCGCTCGAGGCTCCTCAGACCCAGGCCCCCAACGCATGGACAAAAATCGAGACGGAGGTTTTCCTCTGCAGTATATTTTCGGCCTCTCGCGGCCCTCGCCGGGCCCCGGGACTGTCAAAGAACGACCTGGGATGAGAGACTGGTCCTACGGAATGGGTCGAGACTTCCGGGGACCCTGTATTGAGAAATCACGACGTCGGATCTTTGGGTTCGCTGAGCGGGAAAATCTGCAAACATAATCCACACTAGTCTCAAAAAATCCCCCGGCCATCTATTCATTATCCTCCTGCAGACCCAGACCCCCGACGTCATGATTTGTTCATGACGTCGGGGGTCTGGTACATGAGAAACCCGCAGTTAGAGGCCTCCTCGATGGGGCCCGAGTAGATGGGGTCGAAGGATCGCGCCGCATCGCCAAGACGTCGCCGATGTTTCGGCGATGCATCGGCGATGCGTCGGCGCGGGAAAGCACGGGCTCCACATCGGGCCGCCTCGTCGATGCATCGGCGATGCGGCGCGATGCGGCGATGCTCGGACCCCATCTGGGAGGCCTGGAGCCTTGGCTTCCAAGAGGGGCCAGAGGCCTGCTGATCCTTCAGAGGGAGCCCGCCCTGGCTGGCTTCCCCCCCCCTGGCGCGCCGCCGAGGCAGCGCCTTGATCGCTCCACAATGACCGATCGGCGGCGTTTCGATCGCCAGATCTTCCCAGAATGCGAAGAAGGAAAACGACACAAAGATAACCTTTTGGCGCTCCGCGCGGATTTCTTAGATCTGCGCCGGGCCCCCCTCCCTGGCGCGCGGAGCGCGCCAGGGGCGGCGCCGGAGGCGCCGCTGGGGGGCCAAGCGCGGACCCGAGAAATCCGCGCGGATCCAAGCGTGGTCACCGCCGCGCCGACACGACAAGACCCCACCGTTTGGTGGGACCGACTCACGGCCGATGATCCATAGGACGTGCATTAGCCCAAGCGCGTGTTCGCCCCACTCGCTCCTGCCGATAGCGCGCAGCCGGTGTCGGCCCTCGTTGCGCCGCCCATGTCGTATTAAAGGGCCTCGGTGGACAAACACACGTGGGCGCGAAAACACGCTTCCAGGAGATGCGATGTCGTGTTTTTTTCAATGCGGGGTCCCCGGAAGTCTCGACACATTCCCCATGAGGACTGGTTTTCTTATCCCGCGTCGTTTTTTTACGGTGCCAGGGCCCGGCGAGGACCGCCAGAGGCCGAAAATCGAGAACAAATCCGTCTTGAGTTTCTCAATGCGTTCGCGCTCTGGGAAAGTGCCCGAGAGCGTCGCAGGCCGAGCCCCGAGCCCGAGCGCTCCCCCGGCGCGCCCCGGAGCGCCAGAAGGCCAGCGCCTCGGGGCCGTCACGGCACGGGCCGTGCCGTGCCGCTGCCTCCCCGACGCGCGTGCCCGCCGGAAGCGGGCGGCCCGCGCGGCCCAGGCCCGCCCGCCGCGGGCGGGGGCCCGAGGGGCGGAGGCGGCTCGAGTCCCTCCCCCCTTGTACATAGGAAGGGCCCGCGGTCCGTTGGCCTGCCTCCCCCTGAGATCCTGGCGCTGCGATTTTTTCTTTCTCGACGGGCGGTTGCGCTCCATTTTCTCGGGCCCCGGGGCCCCCACGGATCGATCCGGCGCAGGAAATGACGCAGAATAGATGGGGTCCGGGGCTCATATGGCGTGATTTCTGTCGATGTGGCATTTGTTTTTTTGCAACGTCGGATCCCAGGCCCCTCCTCCCTCCCGCCCCCCCTGACCTTCCAGAGAGCTGTTTTTTAGCACTGGAGGCCTAAAAACCTAAAACAAAGCTGAGCGAAACAGCCTAAAACCAAGACGTAGAGAATAGCTTTGGGATAGGTTTTTCAGTCGGGTGCTATTTTTTAGCCCTCCTGGAAGGTCAGGGCCCTCGTCCTCCTCCTCTCCTCCTGCCTGTCCGCTCCCCCCCTGCCTCGTCCTCCTCCCGAGTCCTCGTCCCTCGGGGCCACCCGGCCAGCGTTGGGCGGAGAGCCAGCAGCTCGCTGTCACAGAGTAGTGCAGTGGGGCCTGCAACGACTTTGATGCCTCCTCCTCCTCCTACTCCTACTCCTACTCCTCCTCCTCCTCCTCCTCCTCCCTCCTCCTCCTCCTCCTCCTCCTCCTCCTCCTCCTCCTCCTCCTCCTCCTCCTCCTCCTCCTCCTCCTCCTCCCCCTCCTTCTATTAGAGATTCGTTGGCATCTCACAGGAGGCCTCTCGGGGCCCCCTTTGAAGGCAGTCTGGACGCATCTTAGGGGGTCGTGCTCGGGGCTCTCGGCACCTCTTTGGGGCCTCTTGGGGGCCTGTTTGGGCCTCCTGGGGGCCTCATGGGGCCTCCTGGGCGCCTTTTGAGGCATCCTGGGGGCCTCTCTGGGGGCGATTTTTTTTTCTGTTCGTGTTCCCTCTCTGAGGCCCCTTTCGGGGCGGGCCGTCTTGTGGGAGCCTCTTGGGCCGTCTTGGGTCCCTCGTGGGCCGTTGTGGAGCCCTATTGGAGGCATCTCGGGCCGTCTTTGGGTGGTCTTGGGGGCCTCTAGGGCCGCCCGGGAGCGTCGGGAAGCCGAATCGGCGAGAACGCAGAAATCCTTCAAAACCCTACGAATATCAATGCTTCTGGCCTCTTGGGACCCTCTTGGGAGACATCTTGGAGGCCTCTTGGGGCGTCTGGAGGCCTCTTGGGCCGTCTGGGGGCCATCTTCAGCGTTTGGGAGCGATCGTTCGGCGACTCGGGGCCCTCTTGGACACCTCTTGGGGCCCTCTTGGCCCGTCTTGGAGCTCTCCGGAGCCCAAAAGTTGACGCGCATACACTTCCCGGAGCCCAGGGGGCACGCGACAAGCCCCAGGAGATTTTGGAATTTGGGGTCCGGGCCACTTGAAGACCCCTGAGGAGTGAGGCTTAAAGGATTAGGCAAAGGACCTGGCAAACACGACCACTCCGTGCCCAGAGGCACAGCGGCGGATCAATCATTCCTCCCTGTCGCACTTCCAGGCGTGTCGGTAAGTAGGGCGGGCCGGGCGTTTCACCTGAAACGTCCTCCCCATTCAGGATGTTTCCACCAGCTTCACGGATGGAGGGCGGGCCGTTTTCAAAACGTCGCTCTCGCCATAACGTTGCGCACATTCGTCGTAACAGTGTGCGACAGTTTCACGGATGGATGGCGGGGGGTCGAACATGTGTTTCTCGCTTGAGCACCGCGCATATTCGTTTACAAAGTGAGCAACATTTTCCAGGATAAACGGCGTGTGGTGTTCAAAATGTTGTTCTCCCCGTGGCGCCGCGCACAGTCGTTCCAAAAGTTTGCAGCAGCTTCACGGATGGAGGGCGGTTCTTTTTCAAAATGTGGTTCTCGCCGCAGCGCCGCGCACATGTGTGCTGACAAGGGGTAACTGTTTCAAGGGTTCGTGCAGTTGAAGTCCCAGGAATGGTGTCCTAGCACGACTTAATGCAGTGAAACGATTTAAAAAAATCGCCCCCCCACCCCCCCCGGACCCCCCAAAATGATTGAGTGGGGCGGACTAATAGAATCCAGCCGCCGGAAACTGTTTTTTAATCGTCCGCCCCCCGGCGTTTGCTTTTGCCCCTTTGGGGGAACTGATTTTCCATTCGTCCTCCTTCGCTCGCTTGATCACCCGCGGCCGCGGGGGGAGGATTCCGGAGGAGGGACGGGGTAATTAGGGAGTAGTTGAGGGAAGGGGTTTTCGAAGAGGCGCTTGATCACCATCGTCCTTGCGGACGACTGCCGGTCGTCCTTGCGGACGGCCGCGGCGATTGGGAGGTGGGGGATGAGGAGGAGGAGGAGGAGGAGGAAGAGGAGGAGAGGGGAGGACAAGCTAGGTGCGCTCGCGTCATATATGACAGCCTACCCCTCCCCCCCATCCCATACCATGGCGTAGATCCCCTCTCTACTCGCACAGTCGGATGTCGAGCAGGGGAATGATCCCGAAAGGATACGCGATGCATTGTAGAGCGCGGCGTGGCATGGCGTTGAAGAGCACCGCAAAGCGTAGTATGTCACAGCATGGTGTGGCGTGGCGTAGTGAAGAATTGCATCAACGCAAAGCGTGGCATCGCACAGCGGCCCCGAACATAACATTGCATAGCATGGCGTTGAAGATCAAAGTGTAGCATGGCAGAGCACGACGTGGCACGTAAGCATTCCTCGTCCTCCTCCTCCTCCTCCTCCTCCTAATTATTCTTCCTCCTCCTCAATTGCGAGGACGTCCGAGCGGGAACCGCCGCGTGGTTCATTATCTCCATATCCTGCCTGCGCTCTCCTTGCCACACACGCATTTATCGTTTCCCTGGGTGCGTGCCGCCACGAGGAACGAGGGGCGCATCGCACGAGTAAGGGCGCCTGGCCCCTTACGACGCTTCCCTCAGGCTCAGATCGCGGAGGAGGAGGAGGAGGATGAGGAGGAGGAAGAGGAGGAAGAGGAGGAGGAGGAGGAGGAGGACGACGAGGAGGAGGCGGAGGAGATGGAGGAGGACGAGCTCGCCCTGAAAAATCACCCCGTCCACCCCCCTGGCCCCTGCGCCCTGGATCGCCATCCCGTGCCCCCCCCCCCCTTCTGGCCTTCCAGGCAACCGGAATTGTCAGCCCCCCGTCTGCCTGCCCGGCCCCCCCGCTATTGCGGGGGCGAGGAGGCCCGCGAAACATTTTTTTAATCGTCCGCCCCATAAAGTTGTTTTTTTTCGTTTCCCTTCATTAGGACAGTCAGGACGCATGGGTAACGTTTATTCGCGGTGTTGAATTCCCAGGAGCGGTGCTCTGGTACGACTTAGGGATGCCAGGACGCAACAGTCAGGTTGGTTCGTGGCGCTGAAGTCCCAAGGTAGCGCTTTGGCGTGATGGGGGATTCCCAGTCGGTTGCCATCCAATGGGGCACCCCCCCGCAACGAACATGTGTTTTGTTGTAGAGGCTTGCGAAGAGGGAACTTGGAGGGAGGATTTCCAGCAACATCGTTGGCGCGTCTGGTGAGTAGACTGGTCCTCCTCCTCCTGCTCTTCCTCCTCTCCCTCCTCCTCCTCCTCCTCCTCCTCCTCCTCTTCCTCCTCCTCCTCCTCCTCCTCCTCCTCCTCCTCCTCCTCCTCCTCCTCCTCCTCCTCCTCTTATTTCCCTCTTCCTGATCCACCCTCCTCCTTTTCCTCTTCCCCCTCCTCATCCTTCTGCTCCTGCCCCTGCCTCCTTCAATCCATCTCTGCATAAAGCATTCCGCGCTGTTGCACCCCAAGACGTGTCGAGAGGGCGGTCCAGGCGTGTCGCCTGAAGTCTGAAGGGCGGCTCTCTTTCAAACTGCGCCTTTCGCCCCAGAGCCGCGCGCAAGTGTCTGTACATTTTGCAGCTGTGGTTCTCGCAGCAGTGCCGCGCACATTCGTTTCAAACTTTCGCAACCATATTGATGTAATGATTTGCAGGGTTAAGATCCCAGGAATTGTTTACTAGCACGATCAGCCATGTCAGGACGCAATCGTCACACTGACGCACTGCGTTGAAGTTCCAGGAACGGTGGCCTGGCGCGACTTGGGACTGTCACGACGCAGCATTTACGTTGATTCGCGGGGATGAAGTCCCAGGAATTCTTTGGGGGCGCGAGGAAAGATTTCCAGACGGTTTCGTTCCAAGTAGGCACTTCCCGCAATGAAAACAGCATCTTGTAAGAACCGATGAAGAGGAAACCTGGAGGTAGGATTACTTACAACATCGATGATGCGTCTTGGGTGTGCATTGGGCCTTATCCTCCTTTTCTACATTCGTCCCGTCTCTTCATTCTCCTTCGCCTCCGCCTCCTTCTTCTCATCATCCTCCTGGTCCTCCTCCCTCTCCCTCCTCCCTCTTCACGGGCTGGTCGTACTCGCGAGGAGCGGGGCAGCGAGGTCGTGTCGAGGGCCCCGGCCGCGACAGCCTCACCACGTTTGCGATGTTTGGCTCACGATCGCAGGGGTTTCTTCATCGTCCTCCTCGTCCTCCGCCTTGTCTTCCTCCTCCTCCTCCTCCGCCTCGTCCTCCTCCTCCTCCTCCTCCGCCTCGTCCTCCTCCTTCTTCCTCGTCCTCCTCCTCCTCCTCCTCCGCCCTGTCCTCCTGATCCTCTGGGCCGGCGGGGCCTGGGTCCGAAGGCTCCCGCCGGGCCTCAGGAGGTCTCCGTCCGGTTGTCCCTGGGCACCCTTGGGCTAGCCCTGACTTCGACGCGCCGTTTTCTTCATGTATGTGTATCCTTTTATCCGACCCCCATCCCCATCCTCATCCCCTTCGAGACCCCCACCAGATTACCACCGCAGTTGGGGATACACCCCTCGAAACCTGAAGGGAACGGCCTGTATCCTCATCTAGGGGGGTAAATCGGCCAGTGGGGCCCAGACCACGCCGCTGGGGATGGGGATCGGTTGAACGATACTCAAGGTATAACATAGTACGGTCAACAGATGCATGTATACACTTCTAGTGGACTTATGTATGTAGATATGTATCTATAAATAAAGAACGCGTGTCCCAACCCTGGCGCCTCTCCTCCGTGTCAGCACCCAGATGCTGTCCTCGCACACAGGAACTTCGATGCGAGACGGAACACTGTTCCCGCGGAAGATGTCGGGACCTGTGGGGCCCTCGCGGATTGAAAATTCGTTTTGGGAGTCTTCGGACGGCTTTGGGTCCGGAAGACGGCCCAGCGCACGCCGAACTCCGAGACTTGGCGTCTTGAAAAGATCAAGGTGGTATTTTTGTCGCCAGTCTGGTTTCAGGAGACGGACTTCGAGCCCCACGACTATCAACATCGGCCTGGGGTGCGAGACCACATAACAATACATATGTGTATGTATGTGTATATGTATACATATACATATACAACAAAGGGAAAGGGGCCGAGAGCCCCCAGGGCCAACGCATCGAAAAGTTTGAAGTGCCAGAGTTCTCGGGTTGGGGAGAAGCGCAGAGGCCCTGGGGAACCGAAAATCCATCACGTCTGAGGTCCGGGTCCTCAGAGGCCCCAAAAGTGTTTGAAGGTCTGTGGAGGAAGAGGCACAAGCAAAAGAACATTCCATCAAATGTGATCAGGTTCGTGCTCTTGCTCCTGGTCTCCCGCCTCATCGTTCTCCCGATACGTTTCTTCCTCATCCTCTTCCTGCTTCTCAACGAGCCAGATCCCCGACGTCGTCATCATGACCTTCACGATATGATCCTCTGGAGGTCTCGACCCCCTCCGCTGAACCAGCGCTTTCATCCCAGATAGTGATTTCACGGTCTTGGGGGGTCGTGCGGGACCCCGGAGGCCTACAAGTCGAAAAAGGCCGAACGCGAGAGGTCTGGGTCGTTATATTTCTCCCCCTCTTTCTCCACCTCCTCCTCTACCGCCTGCTCCTCCTCCTCTTCCTCCTCCTCCTCCTCTTCCCCCTCATCATCCTCATCATTATCATCCTCGTGATGTGAAGCGAACTCAGTCATTCAACGCGATGTGCGCGCTGGGCGGCAGGCAGCTAACATTAACGCATGGCACAACAATAACAAACGAATTGTGAGAAATTGTCAGCGCCCGAAGTCAGACCCCTCCTCCTTCCGCCTCCGTCGTGAAAAGGAACGGACGTGCTCAGCATTGTCCGACGTAGTCTCAGGCCTGATATGCGTGTGCTCGGTCTTATCGACAAGGCGTTGTCTCTTGAACACTTGGTTTCCTCCTCCACGGACCGCAGTGCCCGTCCTGTGCGGGTGTCGCCTCGGTTCCACGAAGTGCCCGAGACTCCTTCTCAGCTCCCGCACACGAGCAGGGAATGGCGCCCCTGGTCGCCAGAGTTCGAGATGAAGAGGCGAGGGCCTCAAGAGGGACATACACGCATCATACATCTTCATGAACAGCATCAACCTTCATGGACTTCCGATTCCGCTTAAGACAACCAAGTATCTGGACTGGACCCTGGGCTTGTTATTGGAGCTTGTTCTTGTCCGTAGATCTTTCGTAAGTCTGGATCTGGACTACAGCCCGAGAAACGCGTGGAATGACGCCCATGGTCTCAGCACCGAGTTTTCTTAACTCCAAGCAGGGGTGTGCCCCGGGTTGGCCTCTCTCGGCTTCTGGGACTGCCACCTCCCGACCTTGCCTGGCGCCGTCCACCCTCCTCCTCCCTCCTCCATCCCCCTCCTCGCCCTCCCCTCCCCCCCCCCCCCCCTTCCTCCCTCCTCCTCCTCCACCTACTCCTCTCCTCCTCCTCCTCCTCCTCCTCCTCCTCCTCCTCTCCTCCTCCTCCTCCTCCTCCTCCTCTCCTCCTCCTCTCCTCCTGCTCCTCCTCCTTCTCCTCCTCCTCCTCCCTCCTCCCTCCTCCTCCCTCCCCGCTCAAGCTACTTGCAACGAGCTAAGTGCAGTCAAGCCTCCTCCCTCCTCCTCCACCCTCCCTGCTCCTCCCTCCTCTGCCTCGGAGGGTGCCAACCGACCGCAGACGCGTGGGCCCCCCCCCCCCTCGCCAGAGCGGCGGGCGCGCACGCGCACGTCTCACCACGCGCCGGCGCGGGCGTCGCGCGCGCACACGCGCGCGCTCGCGCCCGAGTGAAAAGAGGGATTGGGATCCCCAGACCCCCTCGAGTTATGAAAAAGTCACGGCGGGAGGTTTTTCATTACGTTTGGCCTTTGGGGGCCCTTACCGGCCCTCGGGACCGTCAAAAACGACGCAAGACAAAAAACCGGTCCCGGGGAATGGGTCCAGACCTCTGGGGGTCGACGTCGTGAAAATATAATGACGTCGGAGGTCTGGGTCGGGAGAGGATTCTTCAGGGGGGGGGGGGGAGTGTGCCTAGGAGAGGTGAGGATCAGGGGGGAGGATGAAGGGTCGAGAGAGGAGGATCGAGAGGGGAGGATGCTCCTCCTCCATAGGAGGAGTCTGGCCTGGGCCAGCGGGTGAGAGACCGCAGAACCAGTGTCCGCCTGGGCGCCGACCAAGGCGAAACGTGAAGCGAGAATCGAGGGCGTGGGGAGGAACGAGGGGGAGAAGGAGCGAGGAGGGAGCAGGAGCGAGGAGGAGGAAGGGAGGGGAGGGGAGGGAGGGAGGGAGGAGGAGGAGAAGGAGGAGGAGGAGGAGGAGGAGGAGGAGGAGGAGGAAAAGAAGGAGGAGGGAGGAGGAGGAAGCAGGGATCGGGATCGGGAGGGGCGTTGCGCAACCGGGGCGGCTGTGAATGGTGGGGGTCGAGGGTTGCAAACCGAGAACTTCGACGCCGTGTTTTCCCCTCACATTCCCTTGTCGGGTTCTAGTTTTGAGTAGAGCACTGTGGTCGCGTCCTTCCTTCTCCTCCTCCCGCCTCCTTTCTCTTTCTCTTTCTCTTTCTCTCTCTCTCTCTCTGTCTCTCTCTCTCTCTCTCTCTCTTTCTCTGTTGGTCTCGTATCTCTCTCGTACCTGCCTCCGACCTCGCCATCCCTGGGGGGAGGGCTGCGATCTGCGAAATTCTCGCCACTTTCGAGAGTTGCTGGGGGGGCTAGTTTAGTGCGGCGCTGCGCAGATCAGAGCGGGACCTCGCCATCTCTGGGGTGCCGCGAACTGCGAAACTGTCGCTACTCTCGAGGTGCGGTGCTAAGCAGATCAGAGCGGAACGTCGCCATCTGGGGCGGGCTGCGATCTGCAAAATCGCCACCACGTTCGAGGGATGCTGGAGGCTGGGGGCGGTCTAGTTGTTTTGCGGCGCTACGCAAACCAGAGCGGGACCTCGCCATCTCTGGGGTGTTGCGAACTGCGGAATTGCCGCCAATTTCGAGGGCTGCCGGGATGGGGCAGCTCAGTGCGATGCTGCGCAGCTCGGAGCGGGACGTCGCCATCTGGGGGGGGCGGATTGCCGTCGGCACCAAGCAAAGAGAGTGCCGTCGGCACAGGATGTTCATTAGCGATGGCCCTCCTGGAGCCATGTGCGAGAAGAAAGGTCTGACCCGCGGCCAGGGGTCGCAGGTGGGAGCGCAGCTCCACCTTATCACAGCCAAATGATTGAGTCTCCTCGCTCCAGACTTGAGGCCAAAATGGCTACGGAGAGGACGGAGGGGGAGGAAGGAGAAGGAGGAGGAGGAGGAGGAGGAGGAGGAAGGAGGAGGAGGAGGAGGAGGAGGAAGAAGAAGAAGAGGCGGAGGAGCAGCAGCAGGAGCAGAACTCGCGAGGCCTCACGCGACTCGCAGCGCGCGTGCACCCGGGCCGCAGGAGCGGAAGCTCCAGCTCTTCTCTTTCCAGGGCGTCTTGGAGCGCGAGTGGAACCTCGATGCGCTCATCCGGTACATCAAGGCGGCCATGTATCACATGGTCTCTCCTCCCAGTTTTCAGAAATTCTCATTGGTTCCTGGAAGCTCTCTCGCCTCGGAATACTTTCCAACAGCTGCGCCTCGCCGAGAGCGCTCCGGGGCTGCCAGGATCGCCCGAACGGCCGCCCGGGGCCCCAGTAATGGCCTGAAAACCCGCATCCCGACGATTTGTTCAACTGGCGTTAAGTCGGGCCTGTCCCTCTTCAGGAGGAAGATTCAAAAATAGTCAAAACATAGTCTGGGAACGATGTTTCGTATTTTTCCAATCTTTTTGAAGATTTGGCGATTTATTTTGTTGCATCGGAAGAAAGGCCTGTAGACCCAACACTGGCGCTCGTTCCTTGATTGCTGCCTCGTGGGGCCCGTCATCGGGCCCTGGGGCCATGGGATATGGATCCGCGACGGAAAACTGTGGGACCTCTGGGGCCGAGGATTGGACAAAAACACACACACACACACATCTTCGGATGCTGGGGTGCGAGGACGCCGAGACCTTCCAGCTTCGGGGCCCTCTGGAATTGCTCCCCTCCATTGGGGGGGGAGGCCTCTCGGCGCCGCGCTTGGATCCCGCTCAGTCCCCAGAGATCCGACGTCACGAAAAAACAGCATGAAAAATCGAGACCAAAGCCCCGGACCCCGTCTTTCTTCTGGGTCCAGGGGCAGCCGAGGGCGACCTCTCGGTCGCGATGGGCACCAGCTTCGCGGCAGAGTCCCATGCATTCGGCTGGGGATGCATCGCGCCCCGTGCGCCCTGACACGCCCGCGCCAGTTCTGGCCCACCGCGCTTTGGCGCGACGCGCTACAGTCGGGGCGCTGAGGAAGGAACCCTTTTCGTTGGGGAGGGGCTCGAAGTTCCTTAGTTTTTGTTGCAGTTCGCCTCTGGTTTTGCCGAGGGCTTCGATGGGAGATCGAAGAGTTTAACTTGTGGGAAAAAGGGGGCCTCGTTCCTTATTTAGGGCCTTGTGGGGTGGGGTGGGGGGGACGGCAGGCGCGACCGGGGAGGAAGGAATGGACGAGGACGAGGACGAGGAGGAGGAGGAGGAGGAGGAGGAGGAGGAGGAGGAGGAGGAGGAGGAGGGGGAGGGGGAGGGGAGGGGGTGGAGGAAGGGGAAAATATGTCAACGCCCCGACTGTATCCACGTCCCAGTCCCCAGGCGTCGACGTCCCGAGCTCCTCCCGAGCCTCTCCCGCCCCGCGGAGCGGAGCGACACGCCGTCCGCATGCAGGGCACCGCGTCTCGCCCAGGGCCGCCGCTGCGGCACGCTGTGCAAAGCTTCCCGGCCGCATTCTCGCCTGGATCTTCCCCCTCGCCCTGTCTTTCGGGCGCGGCCGAGCGGGGGTGATGACCAGGGGCGGGGGATCGTGATTCGCAGGGGGCCACGATGTCTCCCAGAGTTCTTGGCGCCTCTTCTTGTTTCAGTGCGTCCCCGACCCCCATCCCCCCCTGGGCCGCACAGATGCCGCTGGCCATGATTTGCGCCCCCCCCCCCCCCCTCTTGGACGCCCCCCTCCCAGACCCCCGACGTCGTGATTTGTTCCTGACGTCGACCCCCTGAGGTCCCGACCCTCTCCCCATGACCGGCTTTGCATCCCGAGTCGTTGTTTGACGGCCCCGAGGGCCGGTGAGGCCCTCCAGGGACCGAAAAAGGCGAACAAAAATTCCCCGCCGTGATCTCTCCATGGCCCGAGGCGGCCTGGGCTCTCGGACGCCCCCGAGCCTCCGCGGCACCCTCCCCCCGGCGCCTCTCCTCCTCCTCCTCCTCGTCCGCCTCCTCCTCCTCCTCCTCCTCCTCCTCCTCCTCCTCCTCCTCCTCCTCCTCCTCCTCCTCCTCCTCCTCCTTCTCCTCCTCCTCCTCCTCCTCCTCCTCCTCCTCCTCGCGCTCTCGCGCCTCGCCGTCCTGGCCGAGGTGGTCGGCGGCGCGGCGCAGCGGGAGGGCCTGCTGGTCGGCCTCAAGAACGGGCACGCCTCCCGCGCGAGCGCCCCCGCGCGGGCGCCCTCGCCACCGGAGGCGGCGAGAGAGGCCCTGCAGGCGGCGGCGGCGGCGGTCCCAGACCCCCTCGAGCTTGGTTGTCTGTTCGGGTCCGTTGTTTGTTGTCGTGTTCTGTTGTTTTTGTTCGAGTCTTTGGTTTTTTGTGCTTCGGGTTCGGTGTCTTGTTTAGGGGAGACGCCACACCTTACCCCAACGCCAAGCCCCCCCCAAAAACTCCCAATCCAGTCCACAAAAAAATCGCAGCTCCTATTTTCGGGCTCCGGGGGCCCTTGACGGCCCTCGGGACCGTCAAAAAAACGGCTTGCGCCTGTTTTTTTGTGGATTCAGGCAAGTTTACTTGCCATTCAGGCAAGTTTACTTGCCTGGCGTTCGCCCCCCCCCCCCCCCCCCCCCCCCCCCCCCCCCCCTCGCCCCTCTTCAAGCGAATACTGGCGTGCAAGTGCCTTTCGACTTGCGTGATTTCCGCGCCCCCCCCGAACGTGCAAGTCGTTTGCGGCTTGCTTCAGGCTCAGCCCCCCCCCCCCGTCCATGCAAGTAAACTTGCCAGAGTCTAAAAACAACAGGCTCCTTTGGATGAAAAGCCGGTCCCGGGGAATGGGCCGAGACCTTTGGGTGTCGAGGTCGTGAAAAAGATGTCGTCGGGGGTCTGGGGTCACGGCCCCGGCGACGTCGTTGCCGTCGGCGCCTCGGACTTTTGTGACCTCGGGATGCGCTCCAGCAGCTGCGGGGCTCGAGGTTTTGGGCTCGAGGTGTGCGAGGCGTTCGAGGTGCTCGAGGTCCCCAGACCCCTGACGTCAGGATTGTTTCAGTACTTACGCGACCCCCAGAGGTCCGGACCCATTCGCCGGGACCGGTTTTTCATCCTGAGTCGTTATTTGACGGTCCCCCCAGAGGCCAAAAATCATGAAACAAATCCCGTCGCAATTTTTTCATAACTCGTGGGGGTCTGCGGGGGTTCTCGGTGGTCAGCCAGCCTCGGGGTGCGTTCCAGAAGCTGCGCCTCGTCCAGAGCGCCACGGGGTTGCCCGAGCAGTCCCCAACGGCCGCCAGAGACCCGAGTTAGGACCCGAAGGCCCAAGTGTTCCTTCAGGGTTCGTTCCGATACGGTCGATATGTTCCGATCCCAGACCCTCTCGATTTATGATAAAATCACGACAGGCAGTTTTTCAAAATTTTTGGCCTCTGGGGGCCCTTACCGGCCCTCGGGACCGTCAAAAAACGGCTTGGGACGAAACACCGATCCTGGGGAATGGCTCCAGACCGCTGGGGGTCGACGTCGTGCAAAAATCATGACGTCGGGGGTCTGGGCATTGGTGTCGGAAGGGGCGTTCCGCTGTGAGCCCGGTGCTCCGACGAGCCGATGTTGCCCGATGCCTCCGCAGCGCCGTCGCGCACTCCTGGCGGGGCCGAGCCGCTCCGATTCCGACTCCGTGCCGGCGCGGCCGGGTGCGACGCACACCTCTCGGCGTCAACCCAACGTACTTATACTATATTCGGGTTTGGCCAGGACCCCGGGTAAGGGGACCCGGTTAGTGGTAGGGCCCCGGAGCCTTCGAATTGGCCAGAATCACTAAACCAGGTTTGCCATAGCTGGTGTTTTTTCGGGTGACGGCAGTCCCGGTTAGTGGAAATGGGGCGTGGCGGCGCCTCCGGTACGGATCTTTAAACCAGGTTCCACTAAACCCAGTTCTGCCAACACCCGATATATGTGCGTCGCCCCCCCGGGGGCGCCGCGCGCACCGAGAGATCTTATCGTGTATGCGTCGTGGCGGGCGCTTTCTGGCCACACCGCTCGGGAAACGATGTATGCTACAAGTTGGGTATACACTACATGTTCGGGTCGGGCGCGCGCCTCCGAGGAGGACATATAATGTATTAGTATGTCCCTGTGCGTCCCAACCTAGATTCGGTCCGACTTCCCCGACACGACGCCGACCCATCCTGTGGCGACGGCGTCGGTCAGAGCGCCTCGACTCGGCGGCCCGGGCCTTCCGGCGGCGGCGTCGGCCGGGAGCGACCCCCTTCAGGGGCAACGCTGCCATTAAGTCGGGCCTGTCCCTCTACAGAAGGAATATATATTCAAGAATAGTGAGAAGTAGTATGGGGACGGTTTGTTTGTATGTTTTTTTTGACCATGTTGGGATATTTTCTAGCCATTCTTCATTTTCCGTCCAAAGTCCCCCTGTAGGAGGACAGGCCCGATGCCTGGATCGTCGGCCGCCGGGGAGGCGAGTTATGACCCGACAGCCAGGGGACAACGTAGGGGTCTCGGTTTTGGTCGACTCGTCAGGGACAACGTTACCGGGGACTGGGGGATCGGCTCACGGGGCGATGCATCGACGACCCCCACTCGCCAATTGATTGCCGTCAGATGCCTGATAGCCCACCCCGCCCAGGAGCGCGCCGTGGCTTCGCGACCGGCGTGCCCATCGCTGATAATGTCAGCCCGATGCTTCCTCCCCTGGGCCGTTGCCGCCAGCTCATCCCAGATATCCGCTGATATGACTTTTTCATCCTCGGCCCCATGGGTCCCGACCGTTTCCCCAGGCGTAGCTTGTCGTTCCAGATCAAGTGTTTAATGGTCACGGGCCCCGAGGGCCAGAATCGAGGAACAAATCCAGGATTCAACAAGTCATTGTGACGCTCGGCGGCGGCGTCGGCCGCGAGAGCCACAGTGGCTTTGGCGGCGCCCGCGTCGGACGCGGAACGTCAGCATCATCGAGGCTCCGCGGAACTCAGCGGTGCCGCCGCGTCTCCCATCGCGGCGGCAGCGGCGAGCAAACCCTCTCAGGGCGCCACAAACCAGGACACTGCAAACCCGCAGGGAATGAAGACCGGAGACCAGTCCGACCCGCGGCTGCAGTCCCCTCGGGCGCGCCACTGTCCTGGTGTATCAAATGATGGGCCGAATGTCCACCACTACCACTACCAGGAGGAGGAGGAGGAGGAGGAGGAGGAGGAGGAGGAGGAGGAGGAGGAGGAGGTGGAGGTGGAGGAGGAGGAGGAGGAGGAGGAGGAGGAGGAGGAGGAGCACCTCCCCATCCTCCCTTCTCCCCCGCCCTACCTATGGTATTGTTGGAACACTGGCCCATCATCACGGAGTCCCTGCTCAGGCGCCCCGGCCCCTCCGCCCGCCAGCCACCCAGACCCCCGACGTCATGATTTTTGCATGACGTCGACCCCCAGCGGTCTGGACCCATTCCCCAGGACCCGTTTTTCGTCCTGACTCGTTTTTTGACGGTCCCGAGGACCGGTAAGGGCCCCCAGAGGCCAAAAAGAATGAAAAACCTCCCGTCGTGATTTTTGCGTAACTCGAGGGGGTCTGGGCACTGTGCCTCTCGGCGCCCGCGCCGGCCGCGAGAGCCACGGCGGCCCGGCGGCGCCCGCGCCGCACGCGGAGCGCCGGCCACCCTCGAGTCGGCCACGGCCCTCGTCCTCGGCTGCTGCCGCGCCTCCCATCGCCGCGGCGGCGGCGAGCGCGGCCCCTCCGCCCGCCAGCCATTGTGGCTCCCAGGGCCCGCGGCCCCGACGGCCCCGCGCGCGGCGCCGGCGCGGCGGGAGGGCGGCGCGCGCGCGCCGACTGGACGGCCGCGGGCGCCGTCCGGCGGAGGCCCCGCCGACGGGGACGACATCGGCGCACCAGCGGCCTCGACCCGCCTTCGACGGCCACCGCGACAGCTACTTGCCACTGGCGGCTTCGGCCGGCCTTCGGCGGTCCTCGACGGCCACCAGCGGCTTCTGCTGGCCCTCGACGGCTTCGGCCGCGGCCCTTGGCCTGCCCCAGGCGGCCCTCGGCGGCGTCGGTTCCAGGGACGGGGGTCAATGCAAACGGGGGTCAGCCAGGGCGGCGGATCTTGCAGGATCCTGCAGAGCCAGGGCCGCATTGACCCAGGCTATAGCGTGCAGGATCCTGCAGGATCCTGCAGGATCTTGCAGGACCCTGCAAGGCCTGACGGACCCAGGTTTGCGTTGACCCGGGTCGGGTGCGTTCCCGAGCGGTCTGCCCTCGGCGGCTCTCCCCAGACCCCCGACGTCATGATTTTTTCATGACGTCGACCCCCAGCGGTCTGGACCCACTCCCCGGGACCGGTTTTTGGTCCTGACTCGTTTTTTGACGGTCCCGAGGGCCGGTGAGGGCCCCCGAGAGGCCA